AGACATTCTCTTAGGTGTCAACAACTGGCAAGCTGTTCCTTGCATGGCTTCCCCTGGCCTGTTTGCTGACAGGAAGAAGAACAATTTTTTCAATGTAGCCCTTTTTTCCCCCCTTTTTTTCCTTCTGCACTGATTCTCATGTTTAGAATGGCCTTGTGTAACCCATGTGTTTGCAGGGAATCTGGAGGATTCCAAGCAATGAGGTAGATCGGCCAGGCAGCTTTGCATCTCATATGGGTCGGAGTATCGCTCTACTTGTGGAAGTTCTACAGCAGATGAAGGACCATGGGATGCTTCTCACTCTGGCCATCCACCTAGACAGGAAGCCTGAAGCTGACAAGTCTGTTTGTTACCTTTGCTCAGGAATATAGCCAGAATATCCTTTTAGGAGTTTGCTGAGAAAACCTAACAAACTATTTTTTTTTTAATAGCTATTTTAGACAAAGCTGGATTAACACAATGACTGCCATTCATTAAAATACGAACCTCTACCTATGTACCATGCTGGGAAACAGGGAATGATATGATGAAATATGACTGAGCTTGGTGGCTGACTGGTTCTGGCTTCCATGTGAAACCCTGAGATGAGGGATCGAGTCCAGGTGGTGGCAGGCTCTTCCTCTGCCAAGTCAACCCACCTGCAGTCTCTCTATTGTAAATATGTCAGTTGTCACTTGAGTCCACTGCATGTCCTGCTTCTTCTTTTTTTTAAAGAAAGTACTAAAGAAATTGCTAGTGATACTCATGACCTGGTGCTGTGCAACTGTTGATCACTGGTGCTCTTCATGGGAACCATTGTGTTCAGGAACAGGCAACAATATAATTAGGCATATCTTATAATACAAGGCACCAGGCTGCAGATTATTGGACAAAAAAAAATTGTTTTGCTCTTGGAAGTTTACTAAAGATGTCAGCAGAGGGGGTTTCAGACCAAGAGCTCCATTAAGATTTAAAATTTGTTACTATTTGGAAAGAGAATTTGACTTGGCGGCTATATTTCATGGAAAACTTGAGTTTAGAGTGGCCAGGAGGTTTCTTTAATGATGTTACATACCACACATGACTTTGTCAAACTCTTTTACACCATGATTGTGAACTCAGCTTGCTCAGTGATTTTATATTGTTGCATTACCGTATTTACTCGTGTATAAGGCGCATTTTTTAAACATATTTTCCTGCGATCGATGCGTCTTATACTCGGGGGGAAAAAAAAATTTTTCCGAAAACATTTTTTCAAAGTACCTATAACTCATTGGTCATTTATTTAGACGGAAACAGTCCAAACAAGGAAACAGTATCAACAGGCAGTCAGAACAGTGAAATTATAAAAATAACATGCAAACTGTCGGGATGGCTACGTTATTTCTCCACTTCATTCAGTATCGGAGTCAGAATTTGAGATATCTGGGGTGGAAGTTTGATTCGGGGAGCACTCGTCCTCTGAGGAAGGGTCTTCCCAGAGACAATCGTCTTCGGTTCCATCGAGTGAATTCGATATTCCACACGTTTTGAAACTCTTTCTCACTGTTTCAGGATCAACCATACTCCACGCGCGTTGAATAAACTCGCGTAACTGTGCGAGAGTCGGCTTCCTCTGCTTCCCCGTCGGAGTCACATTGGCAATATTCTCGATTCGAAATTCACTTAGCAATCGACGTAAGTGCACTTTGAAAGGGCGATTCAAGCTCACATCGAGTGGTTGGGGAACGCTTGTTAGGCCTCCTGGGACTTCCACCATCTCTGTCTTTCCCTCTCGCAACTTCTCCTTCGCCGCTTCAGTGGTATGTCCACGGAAGCTGTCAAGGACGAGGAGGCTTCGCAATTCACCATTCGCTTGAACGAGAATTGCTCATGGGCGATTCTCTCAAACGGTTCCTATCCAGTCAATCGTGAGACTTTCAGTCATCCAACCTCTCGGTTGACGTCGGACGTGAACCCCTTTAGGAAAGGTCATGCGAACCGGGAGCGATTTCCGCTTGAAAATGACGAAGGGAGGAAGCTTTGTACCATCAGCAAGACAACCTAACATCGCAGTGCACCTCTCCTTCTCTCCGCCGCTCGTTTTAATGCGGACTTCTCTCGTTCCCTTGTCGTTAACGGTTCGATCACGTGGCATATCAAACCGGACCCCGGTCTCATCGGCATTCCCGATTTGACACATGAGATGCCGATAGTGCTTCCTCGTACGGATGATGCTTCTTTGGAATTCTAAGATCTTCCCCTCCGTGTCTCTTGGAAATTTTTGCGCCACTGAAGTTTTCCGGCGAAGGGAAAATCCAGCCCGCTTCATGAATGTCCACCCTCGTGAAGCTTTCAATTCTGAATGCGATATCCCTTTCGCCATTGCAATTGCGCGGGCTNTGAGATCCTGGCAGATCTTATCGATGGCCTGGGCAAGCCATCTGCCACATTCAATCCACAAGGTTGAGCCCCAATCTTTTCCTTTGCAAGGAAATCCATCAAGTTATTCATGAGAGGTTATGGAATTGCAGGGGAGGAGAAACAGCTGGGAGAGTTGAAGGAAAAAGAGGAACCAATCGAACTTCCCAGAATGATACATGATTGCCTGGCTGGATTGAAAATGTGTATCACAAGATTCCCACATCACTACAAGTCCCTCTATCGCATGGCTTATTTTTATGCCCACTCACAGGTCTGCAAGTAAGATGAAGTTTCCTTGTCTATGCCTATTGTCTTCATTACCTCCAAATACATACTACATGTCTTCTTAACAGGATGTTGAACTGGAGTCGAGACATTCTCTTAGGTGTCAACAACTGGCAAGCTGTTCCTTGCATGGCTTCCCCTGGCCTGTTTGCTGACAGGAAGAAGAACAATTTTTTCAATGTAGCCCTTTTTTCCCCCCTTTTTTTCCTTCTGAACTGATTCTCAGGTTTAGAATGGTCTTGTGTAACCCATGTGTTGCAGGGAATCTGGAGGATTCCAAGCAATGAGGTAGATCGGCCAGGCAGCTTTGCATCTCATATGGGCCGGAGTATCGCTCTACTTGTGGAAGTTCTACAGCAGATGAAGGACCATGGGATGCTTCTCACTCTGGCCATCCACCTTGACAGGAAGCCTGAAGCTGACAAGTCTGTTTGTTACCTTTGCTCAGGAATATAGCCAGAATATCCTTTTAGGAGTTTGCTGAGAAAACCTAACAAACTATTTGTTTTTAATAGCTATTTTAGACAAAGCTGGATTAACACAATGACTGCCATTCATTAAAATACGAACCTCTCTACCTGTGTATAATGGCTAGGAAACAGGGAATGAAATGATGAAATATGACTGAGCTTGGTGGCTGACTGGTTCTGGCTTCCATATGAAACCCTGAGATGAGGGATCGAGTCCAGGTGGTGGCAGGCTCTTTGCCAAGTCAACCCACCTGCAGTCTCTATTGTAAATATGTCAGTTGTCACTTGAGTCCACTGCATGTCCTGCTTCTTCTTTTTTTTAAAGAAAGTACTAAAGAAATTGCTAGTGATAATCATGACCTGGTGTTGTGCAACTGTTGATCACTGGTGCTCTTCATGGGAACCATTGTGTTCAGGAACAGGCAACAAGATAATTAGGCATATCTTCTAATACAAGGCACCAGGCTGCAGATTATTGGGAAAAAAAAAATGTTTTGCTCTTAGAAGTTTACTAAAGATGTCAGCAGAGGGGGTTTCAGACCAAGAGCTTCATTAAGATTTAAAATTTGTTACTATTTGGAAAGAGACTTGGCTATATTTCATGGAAAACTTGAGTTTAGAGTGGCCAGGAGGTTTCTTTAATGATGTTACATACCACACATGACTTTGTCAAACTCTTTTACACCATGATTGTGAACTCAGCTTGCTCAGTGATTTTATATTGTTGCATTACCGTATTTACTCGTGTATAAGGCGCATTTTTTAAACATATTTTCCTGCGATCGATGCGTCTTATACTCAGGGGGAAAAAAAAATTTTCCGAAAACATTTTTTCAACGTACCTATAACTCATTGGTCATTTATTTAGACGGAAACAGTATCAACAGGCAGTCAGAACAGTGAAATTATAAAAATAACATGCAAACTGTCGGGATGGGTACGTTATTTCTCCACTTCATTCAGTATCGGAGTCAGAATTTGAGATATCTGGGGTGGAAGTTTTGATTCGGGGAGTACTCGTCCTCTGAGGAAGGGTCTTCCCAGAGACAATCGTCTTCGGTTCCATCGAGTGAATTCGATATTCCACACGTTTTGAAACTCTTTCTCACTGGTTCAGGATCAACCATACTCCAGGCGCGTTGAATAAACTCGCATAACAGAGTCGGCTTCCTCTGCTTCCCCGTCGGAGTCACATTGGCAATATTCTCGATTCGAAATCGACGTAAGTGCACTTTGCAAGGGCGAGTCAAGCTCACATCGAGTGGTTGGAGAACGCTTGTTAGGCCTCCTGGGACTTCCACCATCTCTGTCTCTCCCTCACGCAATTTTTCCTTCGCAGCTTCAGTGGTATGTCCACGGAAGCTGTCAAGGACGAGGAGGCTTCGCAATTCACCATTCGCTTGAACGAGAATTGCTCCTGGGCGATTCTCCCAAACGGTTCCTATCCAGTCAATCGTGAGACTTGCAGTCATCCAACCTCTCGGTTGACGTCGGACGTGAACCCCTTTAGGAAAGGTCATGCGAACCGGGAGAGATTTCCGCTTGAAAATGACGAAGGGAGGAAGCTTTGTAGCATCAGCAAGACAACCTAACATCGCAGTGCACCTCTCCTTCTCTCCGCCGCTCGTTTTAATACGGACTTCTCTCGTTCCCTTGTCGTTAACGGTTCGATCACATGGCATATCAAACCGGACCCCGGTCTCATCGGCATTCCCGATTTGACACATGAGATGCCGATAGTGCTTCCTCGTACGGATGAGGCTTCTTTGCTATTCTAAGATCTTCTCCTCCGTGTCTCTTGGAAATTTTTGCGCCACTGAAGTTTTCCGGCGAAGGGAAAATCCAGCCCGCTTCATGAATGTCCACCCTCGTGAAGCTTTCAATTCTGAATGCGATATCCCTTTCGCCATTGCAATTGCGCGGGCTCGCGTCTGGATCATCTCTATGGTTACACGTAGACCATCCTTTCGAGACCTAAAATCGACAAAGGGCCCAAATGAAGACTTCGATATGCTTAGGAACGAAGCGATATGTTTACACGGTATGCTTCACCGAGGATTTTATTACAGAAGTACGGACTCACTCTTTGACATGTTCGGCCACTTCCTTTTCAATTTCCGGAAACGATTCCTTTTTCCCACGGAAGGCCATGCGAGTCTTTCGCGCCCCGCTCGACTTCGTCTCCTGGATCCACTTCCGTATGCAACTTTCCCCGATGTCGTACTTTCGACCTATTGGGCGGATGCCAAACTCCTTCGCTTCTTGAATCACTTTGAGTTTCTCACCAGCAGTGTAACTTCGCCGTTCGTTGCCCATTTTCACGGATGACGAAATGAGACTGAAATGTGCCCCCTGTCACACGAGGTCAGGAAAATGAAAGGGAAACGAGGCTCGACCGATCTGATGACCGGGTTTTCCCTTTCCCATCCCCCTTGCCCCTGAGGACGTCCCTCTCGCTACGAAATATGTGGGTGCGCCTTATACACGAGGAATTTTTTTTTTACACGAAATGGGACATCAAAAGTGGGGGTGCGTCTTATACACGGTGGCGCACTATACTGGAGTAAATACGGTATTTAAATTTGGGTAGTAAATAATTGGATATTAGAGAAGCATGCTACAAGAATTAGTCACTCAAACCTTGTCACATCACTGAGTTGAGAACTTTTGCATTAAATTGAGTTCAGCAGAATAACAATACTGTTGGTCATTTTTTCTAGTACTACCATTGATTGCTGATGTAAATTTAAAATAGTTTATATAGAAGATTGTCCTACTTTGACCTCCTTTGATCCCTGTCTGAAACAAATCTTCCATAAACCCACACTTAGTGTGACATTGAGTTGAATGGAAATCACTGTTACTGTCAGGCCTATGTGCCTTAGCACTGTTTCCACTAGATGCAGTTACTTTCCGGTTCCTCTGGCAGCTTGTTACTATTACTCATTCTGACTGGTTCAATCCTACATTTCTTCCACTATTACTGAATGTCTTGATATCTTTTCTAGGATGTACATGTTTGAGACAGAAAGGAAGCATATGTCCAAGCATGCATATGACCTGAGTCTACAGCTCCTCCGCAACCGATGGAAAGAGGCGAGTACATTCACGTCGAAGAAAGCTGCCGTCATCGACATCTGCCGCACTCACCAAAAGATCATGCGCAACCTTGGGTACAGAGAGGACATCCTCAACCTCCTCACTGAGGCATACATAAACTTTGTTGGGAAATCACTCGAGAAGGTGTGAGCCAAAATGGAGTGCTGTGACATTTTTGAGTGGTGTTTCTGGATTTCATTCATGTTTCTGGAAGGGGAATTCCTTTTTTTTTTCCAGGAAAAAATGGAATCTCAGAGAGAAGAGGCATTGAAGTTTGCCACCCAACACATCTCTCTTGGCTCCAAGGCCCTAAAAGCCATTCCAAACCCCAGTGTGGTATGGTTCTCTTACTCTTCCTCAAATGATAACTAATGTATCTCGAATGGGTTTGTTCCTTAGCTGATGTGTATCCTGTTTAATGATTTTTTTGATGACTAATGGTTTTCAGAAGCCAGATGGCACTTCTCCAAAAAGAGGTAGACCAAGGGGATCGACAAAGAGAGGAGGTATAGTGAAGCGACCNAGTATCGGAGTCAGAATTTGAGATATCTGGGGTGGAAGTTTGATTCGGGGAGCACTCATCCTCTGAGGAAGGGTCTTCCCAGAGACAATCGTCTTCAGTTCCATCGAGTGAATTCGATATTCCACACGTTTTGAAACTCTTTCTCACTGTTTCAGGATCAACCATACTCCACGCGCGTTGAATAAACTCGCATAACTGTGTGAGAGTCGGCTTCCTCTGCTTCCCCGTCGGAGTCACATTGGCAATATTCTCGATTCGAAATTCATTTAGCAATCGACGTAAGTGCACTTTGAAAGGGCGATTCAAGCTCACATCGAGTGGTTGGAGAACGCTTGTTAGGCCTCCTGGGACTTCCACCATCTCTGTCTTTCCCTTTCGCAACTTTTCCTTCACAGCTTCAGTGGTATGTCCACGGAAGCTGTCAAGGACAAGGAGGCTTCGCAATTCACCATTCGCTTGAACGAGAATGGCTCCTGGGCGATTCTCCCAAACAGTTCCTATCCAGTCAATCATGAGACTTTCAGTCATCCAACCTCTCGGTTGACATCGGACGTGAACCCCTTTAGGAAAGGTCATGGGAACCGGAAGAGATTTCCGCTTGAAAATGACGAAGGGAGGAAGCTTTGTACCATCAGCAAGACAACCTAACATCACAGTGCACCTCTCCTTCTTCCCGCCGCTCGTTTTAATGCAGACTTCTCTCATTCCCTTGTCATTAACGGTACGATCATATGGCATATCAAACCAGACCCCGGTCTCATCGGCATTCCCGATTTGAGACACGAGATGCTGATAGTGCTTCCTCGTACGGATGATGCTTCTTTGGAATTCTAAGATCTTCTCCTCCATGTCTCTTGTATATTTTTGCGCCACTGAAGTTTTCCGGCGAAGGGAAAATCCAGCCCGCTTCATGAATCGCGTGGTCCATCCTCGTGAAGCTTTGAATTCTGAATGCGATATCCCTTTCGTCCTTGCAATTGCGCGGGCTCGCGTCTGGATCATCTCTATGGTCACACATAGACCATCCTTTCGAGACCTAAAATCGACAAAGGGCCAAATGAAGACTTCGATGTGCTTAGGAACGAAGCGATATGTTTACACGGTATGCTTCACCGAGGATTTTATGACAGAAGTACGGACTCACTCTTTGACATATTCGGCCACTTCCTTTTCAATTTCTGGAAACGATTCCTTTTTCCCACGGAAGGCCATACGAGTCTTTCGCGCCCTGCTCAACTTCGTCTCCTCCTTGATCCACTTCCGTATGCAACTTTCCCTGATGTCGTACTTTCGACCTATTGGGCGGATGCCAAACTCCTTCGCTTCTTGAATCACTTTGAGTTTTTCACCAGCAGTGTAACTTCGCCGTTCGTTGCCCATTTTCACGGATAATGAAATGTGTCGGAGAGACTGATACAATGAGACTGAAATGTGCCCCGTCACACAAGGTCAGGAAAGTGAAAGGGAAACGAGGCTCGACCGATCTGATGACCGGTTTTTCCCTTTCCCATCCCCCTTGTCCCTGAGGACGTCCCTCTCGCTACGAAATATGGGGGTGCGCCTTATACACGAGGAATCTTTTTTTTACACGAAATGGGACATCAAAAGTGGGGGTGCGTCTTATACACGGTGGCGCACTATACTGGAGTAAATACGGTATGACAAAACGGGACATATGAAAAGATTTCAAGTTACGCACACTAGAAATAATAGTAGTAATGATTTTGATAGAAATCAAGATTTTCCACTCCATGCGTCACATATTTCAACAGGGACGAACTTTAAATACGTATTTCCTACTTCTCAAAGAACAAATGAATTAATAACAATCCATGATATGGAGCGCCGAGGGCGCGACCATAGGAGTTTTTTTGTCCGAAGGGCAAACAAACTCGCTAGTCCACATACATAATACGTAGTTTACCAAATCACCAAACCATTATGAAGAAATTGTGTGATGGTGAGAGTCTTCTCATATCTTGTCTTGGTCTAAAACCTTGCAGAAAAAATTTGTTAATTGATTAAATAAAAGGTTGATTACGTTATTTCCTTGATGCTACATTTTTAGTCCTCTCCCTTGGATCGAACCTGGCAGTTTCTTCCATCTCAGTGATACATCTGATTGCTCATTGCATTTTTCTTACTTCTAATTAACAATTATCCATGATGGAAACACTTCCGACCCATCGAATGGTGCCTGCGATATATCAATCACAAGCTTTGGATGAGTAGATTGCGTTGGTGCATATTTTCACTGCGAAAGATGAGAAAATAAGGCGTAATTTTAATGTGTTGTCACTTTTAGCCGAGGGCGAGCCTGCACGTTTTGTTTTAACAGAAACCCTTATGTGTGGAAATAGGGAAATGAAACACAAATGGCTTGTGTTCGTTTGTGTAATAGCAGCGCACTGGTCCAATAAACAAGAGGCTCAAGTCCTGGTGGTATCATGGTTATTTTTTCGCCCAATCCCGGCAACTTCCCCTACATTCGGTCCTCATGACATATGACCTAAAGAAAAACTCAACCATCAACTTTGATGCATGGAACCCTCAACCAGGGTCTTTCCGTTTTTCCTGAAAACACTAACCTTCGAGAAAGCAGGATGAAGGCATATCGAGCGAACCGCATCCCTTCCATGCTTGGCCGAACTAGCGATGAAGTCAGCCAAATTTGCGGGATGATGTAGCAGTTGTATTAGCAAGTAATCTGGGGCAAAAGTCACAACCCATTCCTATCTAAACTGACCTATCATTCAGCAAAACAGATTGACCGTTGACCGAACTGGAGGAAAAATATTGACGTCTACTAACCGTGCCAGTGCGATGAATGGCATCACCAGGAAAATCAGGACTAGACCAGTAGGGCGTAAGAAAACCTGACTTGAGTACAATGCCCATGGCTGGGAACATAACATAGCTAGCAGACGCAATGGTTCGGGCAGGGTGCCGACCATTTCTGCTCATGAGTTCCTTAGTAAAACAAAAAAATTACATAAGTACATTAATACGACCCACCCATACCTCAACTCTCTCGGTTGAAACATATATATATATATGTAAGATATTCATACAGTATTTTCAGGCACAAATCTATTGCAACGTTCTACACGTCGGAAGACATCCCAACCCGGAATTCTTTGTCTGTTGAAAATTTCTTACCCCCGAAGTGGATCCCGTTCACGCGGGTGCGATCTATCTACATAAGCATAGCTAACGTCCTCTGTAGGCTTCCGCAAAAAGGGCAGAATTTAATTTACTAGCAGCCTGCGGCCGCTACGCTGGCCGTCTAATAGGTAGAAATTTGAACCGTCTATTGTGAGTATAACGTATCCTTCACAATCCTCTGTTCACCTCATTACCCATTCGGAAATGAAACGCTTCATTAGATTTAAACACATTTAGTTTATAGCTAGACAGGGAGATTCTGTTCCTAAACACCATCATCATGATATTTCAGCTTTTTGCCACAATCGTTCATTGTGAACAGTTTAGCACGTTTTCATGAGACTCAAGACGACATTGCTGATTTCTTCTCCCTAGCACATTCAATACTCTTGCATCACCGATTAGCTCATGTGGTTTTAGCGTTAGCATATTGTACATACACCAATGATTCTGAAACAGTACGGGCCATTTCCAAGAACTTGTTCGACTTCAGCACAGAGGAAATTTAGCGCATGTGCAGCAGGATACTAACGAATAATTCCTGAAAAAGCCTCGCCTCCACATTAGCACCAGTGAACAACAGTGTGAGCGTTAAGTGTGAGTTGCTGCAGGAGCAATTTTCTGGCATGTTTGACATGTCTAACAAATCTACCCTCCCTACAGCAAAATGTGCGGCCTGACTGTGCTCGCTGCGCAAACGACTGTAGTGATTTGAGATGACATGGACAGGCCTGACAAAATGTCCCGAGTTCCGTGGTGTGATGGTAGCACACCTGAATGGCAAGTAAGATGGCGGGATTCAATTCCTGTCTGCCCACCGACTTTCGACACCTGAGTGCTGCGCTCTTTGCATCAAGTTGCCCAACAAGCTGCATGGCTCTCCTATTCCTGAGCTCAGCATTCGCTGCCTCTTCCTGTTCAGTGGTCTGCGCGACCCTACGCTCCCTACGCGCTTTGAGAGGTGAATGACCTAGCTTTTGGCCTGAACTGACATAGTGTTGTAGGCCTCCCGCACTGGGGTGACAACCACCACCACCGCAGCTCTCAGGCTCTTCGAATTAAAGTAAAAGATGATGTGTTGGAAAGGCGCAGCCTTGTAGGCCTGGCCTATGACCCAGAATGGCATTGCATCGTAGGCCCGCGCGTTGGGGGACAGCCACCACCACCACCGCAGCTTTTGACCTCTTCGAATGAAAGTATTAAACTAGCAGCCTGCGGCCGCTACGCAGGCCGTCTAATAGGCGGAAATTTGAATAGTCTATTATGAGCATAACGTCTTCATGACATCATCTTTTCATCGCATTGCCTATTCGGAACTGAGCCGCTTCATTAGATTTATGCAAATACAGCTTAGAGTACAGAGGGAGATTTTGTTCCTAAACACATTCAGCATGTTATTCGAGCTCATTGCCACAATCGCCATTGTGAACGCTTCGGTTTAGCAGGTTTTCTTGAGACTCAAGACTACTTTGCTAATTTCGTTGTCCCAACCTTTCACCAGCAGTGTAACTTCGCCGTTCGTTGCCCATTTTCACGGATAATGAAATGTGTCGGAGAGACTGATACAATGAGACTGAAATGTGCCCCCTGTCACACAAGGTCAGGAAAGTGAAAGGGAAATGAGGCTCAACCGATCTGATGACCGGTTTTTCCCTTTCCCATCCCCCTTGTCCCTGAGGACGTCCCTCTCGCTACGAAATATGGGGGTGCGCCTTATACACGAGGAATCTTTTTTTTTTACACGAAATGGGACATCAAAAGTGGGGGTGCATCTTATACACGGTGGCGCACTATACTGGAGTAAATACGGTATCATATCATATATCAAACTAGGTTTGACATTACAGTGAAAAGGGTTAAAAGTGTCCAAATACATTCTTTGTTAAGAGAATAATAAGGGAAACAAAAAGTGTCATTATTTCTGAGAAGAAATTCGCAAGAGTCTCATTTTCAGAATCATTCCATTGTGAGAGTATGACATAAAATTGAGGCAGAATATTGCTTTGCATTGACAGAACTATGATGGAGGAATTGGACGGGCTCCCTTCCTTGAGTCTCATGCAGGTTATACATTCTGTGCAGTTGCTGCTCTCCATTTGCTCACAAGTCAACAAAAGATTAATCCAAAGGTAAACCTTTAATCTATCTTAATGAAGTTTCACTATTAACTTGATTATTTTGAGCTGATAAGAACAAATTTTCTTTTTTGACAGAATGGTGATACTGGTTCTGATCTCGGGTTCAGTGAACAGCAAGTTCGTGTTCTGTCAAATTTCCCATTTCTAATGCTTTTTAAAATTCGACCTGTCATTTTGATAAATATTTGATACTGACTTGCAGAGGAGAAACCTTGTAAGATGGTGTATTAGTAGACAGGGCAAGGGATTCAATGGACGGCCACACAAAGATGAGGATACATGCTACTCCTTCTGGGTTGGGGCAACCTTGAAGGTAAACCTTGGTCTGGAAGCTCCTGAGTTACCACATTTGTCACTGAAATATACTTCTCTTTTATTAGTTGCTGGGAAAGGAGAAGTTGGTAGACAAGCAGAAGAATAGGGAGTTCCTTCTGGCTGCACAGGAGGAAATTGGAGGTGGTTTCTCCAAAGTTGTAGGGACTGGTACAGATCCCATGCACACCTATCTTGGTAAGATTCCAATTTTTTTTCTTTCTGTTCAGCATGCATGATATGAATCTGAAGATAATCAATCATCACTAGCATTGGCCGGCCTTTCATTACAAGAGGAGGAGGGGCTTCGACCAATCAATGCAGCATTGAACATGAGTGAGAGGGCATTGTTGCATCTTCATCACCTTCATAAGACATGGAAGAAAGCGCAGAGCTGACATTGATCAGGTGCTTACCACCCTTTTTTTTTCACAATTGCTTTGCATTTGACAGTGCATGATGTATTCACAATTCATGTGATGTAATCAGAGCAAAAATTTTGTTATAAAGAAAATAAATGTGAATGCTTTTCTTGATAAGTTATGCAACAAAGATGAAATGAAGTATAAAATAGTATTTCTATTATAAATGCCATGATCAAAGAGTCAACTTAATTGAAGAGAGAAATGCCACTGCAGGAACTTTGTGCCTCACCTGCTGACTACACAATATCCAAATTGCATGAACAGTTGAGCTTGATATAACTAGGGCTGTACTGATGTATCAGCAGCTGCTGGTGTAGCACCATCAGCAGGTTTGCAAGTTGCTAGAGCAGTTGTCCAAAGAATGTTCAAAATGAAGAAAAAGTATTTAAAAACCCATGTGGATGGAAGCTTAGTAACTGATCTCAACAGCAATAGGAAAAAATTAGGGCTCTCCCACTGCATCCATGGATGTATGGAAGTCATTATTTATATTTGAGGGAATGGTAGGCCTGTTGCAAAAATCTCACCTCCTCCCACACTTCCAAGTCACAGACAAGAGATTATGGAAGATGGATGTCCATGCCAATCGGCCATATCTGGCCATTAGTACAGCCCTAGATATAGCCCATGAGATCATCACTTGCAAAAGTTTCCCATAACTCTCCTGGGTGAATTGCAGAGGGAAAGGTGGACTAAAAAAAGGTGCTCAATGCTTACCTAAACATGCTACTAGTATTGAAGTGAAACTAAATGAATGTGTCATCTCTCACAGAAAAATAGCTTTTGTCTTTGATTCCTATGCTGGTCAGTCTGCTTGCAAACAAAACATAATACATATCATTCATGGTTAATCATACTAGTTCCTTTAACCATAAATAAAATTTGATACTATCACTGGCAAGTCATCACAAAACCATCCTGCCACTTTTGAAGGGGTCACAACATGTTGCAGACTGATATCAGTTTGGAAATCTGTTATGATAGATCTCCCCTTCATCAAGAAATGAAGAGCACCCACAGGAGGGACATGTAAAAAACTCTGGGACTGGCATTCACTTTGATGCACCACAATCAAGAGCTAATAGCAAGAATTGACAATGCACCAGACTTGGTTCAGGATACAGGGTAAGGTACACAAAAGCAACTTCACAGACTTCCAAAAAGATAACACAGTTATGCAAGAGTGGGCATGTTAATTATGGAATGTGATCTTCTAATAGAATGCTTATTGAATTCAGGAGCTCTTGACTATAACCAATAGGAGTTCTGGTCATCATGTCATCAATCTTCCTTTATGAAGATAGGAAGAGAACCAAGAGGAACAGGATAATCAAAGAGCCACCGAGGCCCCTCATAAGCTTCCCCTGATTTTCTAAAAGCAGACCAGAGACCTTTTGGCAAATAAATATCTCTCAAGACACTTCCTTTCTCCAAGACAGGAGCCACCAGAACTTTATCCCCCAGCAAGAACTCTGGAAACAGGAAATTCAAGATGACATGGAATGAGGTCATATCATGCCATTTTTCATTTCATTCCATAGAAGGTGAATGCTCACCATCAGAGGAAACAAGGGCCTGGGGATCATTGGGTGCAATCCACCAGAGGGGTCGATTAATGGGAATCCCAGTTTCCCCAGCTTCCTTGGCCAACATCACAATATCTTCTATGAAAGCTTCCCGCAATTCTAGAAGTCTTTTGGTCAGGTAGACAGTTTCTTCATCCCAAATCCATGGAGGAACAGAGAACTGAACTGATGGCATGAGGAGATTTACCTCTAGCCAGCGGATGAACAGCTCTCTAATGCCAGAAATATAAAAATGAGATGATTGTACACTTGTTGCAACTCATGAAGCAGAATTTTGCTCACTTGTCATTTGACAGTAGCACAAAATTATCCCCACCAACCATGTCAGGGAGGACAAATGGATATCCAATAAGGCCAATTGTGAGAACAGCAGGTATCAAGGAGTTGATGCCAGTATCAGCAACCCATTGAGAATCCCTGTCAATAATCCTGACAATGACAGGATACTGCATGGTGTCTCGGCCACAACGACACTCAATGGCATTTCCAAATGATGCCACCATCTTCATGTAATTGCGGGTCCACACCTCAGGGACCTCATCCTCTGTTGCATTCAACACATAATTTTCAGGAAGGAAGCGGCTTTCTCCAGCGTCAAACTTGAATGAATGGACCACGAAGTCTTCACGAATTTTTTTCAACAGGGACTGGAACCAGCTGACAGCAGCTGAGTTGGTAGTATCTAGAATTGCTGCATTTGGTGAATTCCACCATTCTGTGGTGCCCACCTTCCCATCTGCTCCTTGGACAAAGTACCTCTGTAACAAATCTTTATGTTACTTACAAAAATAGCTTTTCCAGCTTATATTGGGCTAAATCCCATCACACCTTAATGCAGTTTTATTAATTTCAGCAATATTATATTTGCCATTCAAGTTTCTATTTCAATCTTTGCGTTGATATTTATTGATTCATCTGCTACTGGTTAGAAAAGGCCCATCAAAGCTATCTGCAACAAAAGGTCTGCATAAAGAATAAACTTTTTTTGCAGAGATGTTCAATGAGGCCTGGATAGCAAGTGTCCAGTCCACTTCCAAAATCCATCCTCTCCCATGTAATTACTCATAGCCTTGCTTCAGAACAATGAATTTCTTGGAAACTTATGAGTCTCTGATCCTCTTAAATTTAATTTTTTTAAATAACTAGCAAGAGCAGAGATATATGAGTTAAAAGGAGATTTAAATATTTTCCTTTTTTTTCTTCTCTTGCTATACCCTGTATAAAGGCTCACATGTGATAGTAATCCAGATTCCACACCCCAATGTCAGTCATGTCAGTCAACTAAATGATTCCAAAAAGGGAAGACCACTCACTAAAATGAGAAAAGAAAGACAAAGGAGCTCTTGGAATTGAAAGAATAACAAAATCCTCAAAAGGGGCATGATCCTGCTGAAAGTTTCCAAGTAGTTATGTCTTTTTTTGAAAATTCAATATGAATTATACGAGTAGTAAGCTGACAAATGAAGACATCATGGCAGAAAAGCTGTCTGCATACAGAGTGCACAGCTTAAGCCCATCTCACAACCTCCAGAATTTTCATTTGCCCCCAGTGAAGTCACACTAAAATTAAAGACCTCAAAGGATGATTCACATATTGATTGATGGTACTAATATATCTATGTTAAAGGTACAAAAAAGGGCATAAAATAAATTAGTACTGAAAGGGTTCATGGAGTCTTAAGAGTCTTCTGGTCTTCCGGTTTAAAATGTTTTCAAAGATGATAGGTTCTGTTTTCATAATCCAACCCATAACAAGAGAACATTAGCATCCTTCTCCAATGCTACCATCAGATGTCAGGAACAAGAGACTTTCCAGTGCTGTTGACATTGGGAATTGTGTGGCCAAATTTTAAATGGCTTATGCTGAATATCAACAAGAAAAAACTATACAAAAAGATGAAACTCCCAGGAACAGAATGGTGTCTTACTTGAGACTCATTGAAGACTTTGCATTCAGGATTAAAGAAAGGTTGGATATAGAGTGTGGTCCTGATTCCCATGTTGTGAAGTTCCCTGAACATGCCTTTGGGATCTGGAAACTTCAGAGGGGAGAATCTATGTTCTCCATAGCAAGTTTCCCATTGATCATCGATCTCCAGCTGTGAGATGCTCAACCCATGCTTCTGGATCTTTTTTGCATAATCCAGAATTTTGAACTGGTCAATGTCTTTGTGATAGAGTCCCCAAGTTGTCCAGATGGGATATCGAATCATCTTCTCATCTGGAATTCCTCCTGGAACCTTAAAAAATTTTTTCTGGTTTTTCAGATGAAGATCCTTCATGTCTTTGCCTACACACAGGTGATATGAGAGGAATGGATGGAGGTGGCGGTATGGTTCCCGTTGCCGGGCTGCAAGGCAGATCTGTCCCTTCTCTAGTTGGAAAAAGAGGGGGACGCCCTGTGCTACAAAAATCGATACACCTTGAGATGAGATCCAGTAACTTGTCAGCACAGATCCAAAATGGCGAGAAGTGAAGCTATCCATGTCATTGGTGACAAATGGAAGCTCAGACACTGAGACACGCTCCAGAGGCCATGCTTGCTGGATTGTTTCCCCTCCCCCATACCAGTGATCACCACTTTGAATGCTGAAACAATCCTGGAAGTCCCTCCCATCTTGACTGTGCCACTGGATATGAATGCAGTTATCTTCATACTGAGCTAACAGTTGTGTTCCATCAGGATAAAGGAACTGACTTTCCTTAGGTGTGTTGTTGTTAATGGGAATAACATCCCTTGGAGCCCCTTCAAGTCCAAGATGAGCAGTGAGAAGTTCCACTAGAACATGCAAAAAATACACTATTGCAATGAATTAGCCAAACTTGATTTATTGTTGGCAAATGCTTACCCTGAGGCATGGTAACCTGAAGCTTGATTCCATTTGAAACTGGAGAGAATATGTACTGAGTCTCAAGGGATTCCATCCAAATTCCTACAATGGGGGAAAAAAATCTGCACAATGCAAAATGTTAAACTTCATTTATGTTTTGATATGATGATAGTCAAAGACACCCACCATTAGGTTCAAGAGGAATAGGTTGTTTGGATTTTCTAGTGACTGCTTCCTGTGAGTCTGAAGAAGATATTGGAATTCAACTAACATAGCAAGTGGTCAAGAGGTGAGAAAAAAAATGGCTGAAAAACTCAGAAACTCACTGAGATCCAGAGAGGAGAAAGTGAACAGGATAAGGAGAAACACAGCCCCAAAGAGCACAAATGCTGTGAATCAAAGCAAGTGTTGACTTTCAGACATTAGTCAATATTGATCCAATAAATCTCCTTTACCAACAAGTATCATCACGTTTTCAACAGCCAGATTGTAACATCCCTCCATCCAATGTCAAAGCCTACTAAAGTGCATGATACCAGCAAAGCTCCTTAATTCATGTGCTTTGCTTCCAAAATTGTCATGAAAGCAAAGAGAAATCAAGTTGAACAAGTAGAATTTGTGATTGCCAAGGACACATGGGAATCTTAACAGGAATGCACCCAAGAAAACAATGGGCCCTCACAACATTGTGTTACCTGCAGCATACATGTTTTGCTTGCAACAGCATAAACTCCATGTCAGATCTTGTTCTTGAGTTATTCTAGACTTGAGGTTTTTCCTTTTTCCCATATACTTTGCCTTCTAAATATCCCAAACAGAAAACACCAAAAGGAGACAGGTCTAGTGACCTTGGTTACTATATCCCCTTACTTGCCACATGATCTTCAAAGGTTTCAGATAGGAATATCATGACAGAATTTATGGTGTATAGTGTTACCCCATCTTTTTGGAAGAACATGAGACAAAAGTCAAAACACCTTTCCTCTCCAATTCAGGAATAAATTTATCCTGCTGCAACTTTCCATAATTCACTTGATTAACAGTGTCAGCAAAAATATGAAGAGACCAATCACACAGGTGTATAACATGACACACACCAACACTTACAGCAGAATTAAGTGGCTCTTCAATTACTTTGCTTGGATTTGGAATGCCCCAAAATCAAATTCCAGTTCCAGAATTTCCTCACCCACATCAACTTTTCCTGAGAATCACAGGCAGAAAGCAATTCACTTCTCCAAACCTGTTTACTTCATCTCTTGCAGTACTTGAATTTTATGGGGAAAGCAATGCAAGATGTTCTTCAGGACTTTCTGAATCTAAGATGCAGAGAAACCAAATTCAAGACATGCATATTTCATTGATTTCATGGCAGGCGTGTGAATCTCTGTGACATCTTGGAGCATGTCTTCATCCTCTTCAAGTGATGGTCGACCTTACTTTGGCTAATCTTGAACTAACCCTGCCTCTTGAAACTCCCTGACAAGATCATAAATGGCTGAGTGAGAGTGCTCTTAGGATGTTTTGCAATGACATTTGAACATCTGTGCTTCAACCACATATTTAAACTCAAAATCCCACTCAATAGTGTTCATTCTTTGAGAAAAACCTGACCACTTTTAACAGTTTTAACAAAAAAACTATTGTTTTTCCAGATAGATGAAATGGAAGAAAAAGAATATCTTTAAGATCATTGCCCATTTTGAATTTCAGTTGGCAACTAGAAAAAAATTTAACAGCAAGTTACTTCAAGGAAACCCTGTATTTTGTTCATGCTGAGATGTGTCCAGAAATGGGCCTCCTTTATATGCAATTTGACAAGACAAATCTGCTCTCAATTGAGGCTGCGAAATCAATTTATTCCATGACAGTGAATTACATCATGAACATATAAAACAGGTTTGTGTATAAAGAAAATTAATGTCAAAAGATATACTGAAAAAATTAGGAATGACTGATACTTGAACCACATTATGAAAGAGAACTAGTAGAAATTCTTCTGTGAACTTTACTAAAGACATACATTCTTTAAGGCTCTCTTGATGTACAAATTTAGCTGATTTGTTGTGACCTTGGTTTCTCCTGGTCAAGGAATTATTCAACAAACAACCTCTGGTCTAAACTGAATAATATGGATAAATAGATAAACATTATTCTGTGGATATCCTTTTGAATGAAAGTAACAGGGCCTACTTATGTATGGTTGATGACAAATTCCTCCACGCACAGCTTCCCAGGCATGATTGCTCCTCCAGGTTGCATCTTTTTGCAAACTCTTGTCTGTATCCCTCAATGAATACATCATGACCACTATTTCTGGTTCTTGCTCTCTACTCATCTCTAATTATCATATTCACAAAGCACTTCTGGGTCTGGAAGAACTTATGCTTGGTCATATGACATTAAACATGCTATTGTCCTTTCCATAAAAAATTCATGCATCAAGAATGCATCAAGACTGACCTTGATAGATATGGGTAAACACTATTTAAAAGGTTATCCTTCTGGGGATGGACCCATTTTGCTGCTCCAATTGGAGCAGTGGGCTAAATGAGTGAGGGTGATTTTAAAGAAACAGTCATTTTCTATGGGAGATGGGTGATTTGTCTATGCACAAAAAACCAGTAAGGTAGATAGTCATTGATAGTGATAGCCATTGAAACAGTATGAGAAGTTGGAATGATTAAGTATTTTTAGTACCTTTGTCTCAATCATATTATGCCCCACTGACAAAATTTACAGGTGATAATTGTAAGAATGGTCAAGTGTAAGAATGGTCTTTGTTTGAATATCTCACAGACATAAAAATGGATCAGCTCAATGAGATCCATGAGATGTATGTATGTGTATTATGTAGGGTTGGGTGTCCCATGACACAAAGCTATGGATAGCTGAAATATTTTACATATTGAACTGCTATACTGTATTGCAACACTGTTGGCAAAGTATTTTGATGAAAATTGCTAGAGCTGCTGCACACACTGAGGAGTCATGAGCTTAGCCAGTTGGATATACAAGGGTCATCCCCAAATAGATGCCTCAAATTTTTTTTGTCCAAAACCTTTTATTGTGCAGGAACACAAATTTAACAGAGAATGCATAAACCTTTCAAGATCCTTCAGTAATTTATCCATGTAGCCTCCATCCCTTTCAATACATTTTTGCTGACAATGAACAAGAGGTAAGCCAATGTGGTAAAAGAACTTGTCTGCCTCATGAAATCATTTGCAAACTGTACATTTCACTACATCATCGTCTTCTAAATGTTTTCCATGAAGATCATCCTTCAAGGCACTGAAAAGATGGAAGTTTGAGGATGCCAGATATGGGCTGCATGACGGATGAGGGAGAACAGTCCATTTGATTTTCACAATCAACCTTGGCAGTGTTCTCTTCAGTCACAGCTGTTGCAGGCTGCCTAGTGTGAGGCTTATCCTTCAGGACAATTTCATTGTGTTGACATGAGTACTATGAGCTGTTCTAAAATTGATGACAACTGCAGTCAAGACAGGATGAGTGAGGGAAGAGCTATTGCAGCTTGAAAACTGCATAAACTGCTGGGGCACAGGTATGACTGAGTGCTAGTTTCTACACTTTACAATGTTTCTAAACTTATAACCCATCTCATCTGAAGAATATTGACAAGTTGGGGCCAAATTTATTTACCATTCCACAATAAAATGAACTACATTCACTTGGTTATTTCTCATTTGGTTAATACTATTGTCATACTTAACCCTTTTAGTGCCATAAGAACTATATATAATTGATCAAGCCTATGGATTGGCTACATGAAGCTAAAAGGGTTATTGTTTGGTTACTACTTTTGGTTTGTCAGTGAAACTCATTTTCATTGGCTTTGATCTTCTGGGTCATTGTGCACCCACATTCCTGGTGTTTCAAAAGATTGAGACATATCAAGACTGGACCTGTCTGCTTAGTGTCATCTGGCTGCATGCATGAACATTGTTACTATTGATATAAAATCCCTCCAATTTTCCATCTTAAAAACAAAAAGCTTATATTTTCCTAACTTAAAGCAGTACTCTTCAAATGATGGTGCTCCAAAAAGTGACTAATTTTACACATCATTCATATGCATTCTGCAATTTGCCTCTTTGCACTGAGCATCTTATTCCTCCAGAAATATTGGTTACTATGAGCAAACCAGCAAGAGATAATAAATACTGTGAAATCCATAATAATTTAATGCATAGCACTGCTACAGGGATGATTGACTAATTTCAATATAAACAGATCTGCAAATGCTTTTTGATGCCTCAACCAAAGTCATTCAATGACATGATCTTGCTTGCATTCTGTGGATAAGGGGGAATGAGGGCTTTCTGAACAGCCTTCTCTGTTGATAGCATTCATCAGATCAAGGAATATGAACATCTGTAATCCAGTGCAAGGATTCAGCTTCCCTGGCATTTTCTGTGCATTCAGATGAAAATCCCAAAAATTATAGTGAACCAAGAAAGTATAACTTTCAGCCCCAGATAATAATTTTAAAAAAAACTGACAATATGGTGAAGATGCAATTTTTAACATGATCAGGGGAACAATATCTGAAGAATGGAAAAATGATCACCATTCCATGAGAAAGCTGAGACTCTCAGTTTCCTGGTGAAATGTTGATTATTCTGACCCAAAAAAGGGAGAATTCTTTTTCCAAATATTATCAAAATTGCATATTCACCCTTTCATTAGATCAAGATATGTAGCTGTGGGTGTTGCTCTTTGTGCACTGTCCTAATGGTGTAGAAAACTATTAAATAAAAAAAGGCTTTTGTTTGGTAATTCAGCATTTCATCAATAATAGTCAAAGCTTATCTCATGTTCAAGGAGGTCACAAAATACTGTTGAGTGGTCAATAAACTCCCAGGAAAAAAAAGAACACTAAAAGGCAGACTAGTAGAAAACTGACAGTCAGTTTGACCCATCACAACCGCATGCTAATGGCAAGAAGTAACAATACACCAAACTTGGCTCAGGCTACAAGGTTAGGCACAAGATATCACCTTCATCTAGGCTGTCACACAATGAATGGAGGTTGGGCAAAGGTGGGAATGTCATAGTTATGGAGGACCATCTCCCAATAGTATACTTAAGACTTTCAAATCCAGGGGCTTGTGACTAGAGCAAAGTGTACAACAGCTGTATCAGGGGGTTATGCTCATTGTGCCATCAGTCTTCCCTTATGAAGATTGGGAGGGATCCAAGAGGAGCAGAATAATCATAGAGCCACCGAGGCCCCTCGTGAACTTCCCCTGACTTTCCAAAAACAGACCATCGGCCTTGGGGCAGGTAGACATCTCTCACCACTCTCCGTTTCTCCATGACAGGTGCCACAAGGACTTTATCCCCCAACAGGAACTCTGGAAACATGGAATTTATGCAGTTGTGGAGGACATTATACCATGCCAATGTTGACCACTTTATTCCATAAAGGAATATCAATGCTCACGATCAGACGTAATGAAAGCCTGGTAATCAGTGGGTGCAATCCACCAGAGGGGTCGATTAATAGGAATCCCTGTTTTCCCAGCTTCCTTGGCCAACAGTACAATATCTTCTATGAATGATGCCCGCAATTCTAGAAGTTTCTTGGTCAGAGACAGGGTTTCTTCATCCCAAATCCATGGTGGGATAGAGATCTGCACTGATGGCATGAGGAGATTCACCTCAAGCCACCGAATAAACAGCTCCCTAGTGCCAGAAATATTGAATTGAGAAGCTATGAATCAGTCTTGCCAAAACTCATGCTTTGTGCCAGATATTCACTTACTTGTCATTTGACAAAAGAATGTCAGAATTTCCACCAACCATGTCAGGGAGAACAAACGGATAACCAACAAGACCAAATGTGAGAACCACAGGCACCAAAGACTTGATGCCAGTGTCTGCAACCCATCGAGAATCCCTGTCAAGAATTCTGACAAAGACAGGATAATCCATGGTGTCCCGCCCAGAACGGATTTCAATGTCGTTTCCGAATGATGCCGCCATCTTGACATAATTGTGGGTCCATGCCTCGGGAACATCATTCTCTGATGCATTCAGCTTGTAATTCTCAGGAAGGTAGCGACTTTCGCCAGCATCAAACTTGAATGAATGGATCCCAATCTCTTTTCGAAGTTTTTCCAAAAGGGATTGAAACCAGATAACAGCAGCTGAATTTGTAGTGTCCAGAACTGCTGCATTTGGAGAATTCCACCATCCTGTGGTGGCTACCTTCCCATCTGTTCCTCTCACAAAGTGGACCTAGAATGCATCTCAACATTTTATACATGAGTTAACAAATGAGAGAAACAAAAAAAGCAAAGGGCATCATACCTGAGACTCATTGAAGATCTTGCACTCTGGATTAAAAAATGGATGAATCCACAGTGAAGTCCTGATCCCCATGTTCTTAAGTTCTGTGATCATGCCCTTTGGATCTGGGAATTTCTGAGGGGAAAACTGGTGTTCTCCATAGCAAGTCTCCCAGTGATCATCGATCTCCAGTTGTGAGATGTTAAATCCATTCTTTTGAATGTTCTTTGCATAATCAAGAACTGTGGACTGATTGATATCTTTGTGGTACAGTGCCCATGTTGTCCAGATAGGATGTCGAATCATCTGTTCATCAGGCATATCTCCAGGCACCTGAAAGAACTTTTTCTGATTCTTCACATGGAGATCTTTTATGTTCTTGCCTACACATAGGTGATAAGAAAGAAATGGACGGAGGAGGCGGTATGGCTCCCGCTTCCGTGCAGCAAGGCAGATTTGTCCCTCCTCCAGTCGAAAAAAGAGTGGAACACCCTTTGACACATGAATCGATACACCTCGAGATGAGATCCAGTAGCTTGTCAGCAGGGAGCCAAAATGGCGTGCACTGAAACTCAGCATATCATTGGTAACAAAAGGAACCTCAGAGACCCATATGCGTTCCAGAGGCCATTCTTGCTGGATCGTTTCCCCTCCCCCATACCAGTGATCACCAATTTGAATGTTGAAACAATCCTTGAAATCTCTCTCATCTTGTCCCTGCCACTGGACATGAATGCAGTCATCCTCATATTGGGCAGACATTTTTGTTCCATCACGATATTGAAATTGACATCCATCATGTGTGCTTTTGTGCGTTGGAGCAACATTCTTTGAAGTCCCTTCCAATCCAAGATGAGCTGTAAGCACTTCAACTGGAACAAACCATAAACATGCTATAATGAATGCACTAGACATATTTCAATTGCTTTTGGAAAATGCTCACCTTGTGACAAGGTAACCTGTAGCCTGATCCCATCTGAGACTGGAGTGAAGATAAAGCGATTCTCATTGAATTGAACTTTCACTCCTATATACGGGGAGAGAAATAAATTTAAAAAATACTACTTCCTATAATCAATCAATTAACACTTTGATAGCATAATATGCAGAAACACTAACCCTCTGGCTCTGAAGGAATGGGCATATTGGCTTTTTTTGGAATTACATCATGTGAATCTGAAAAAGAGATGAGATTCAACTGATACTGCAAAAAGTAAGAAAATCAACAATCCAAGAAAGCAGAGACAGACCTGGATCCAAAGAAGAGAATGCAAACAGGACGATGAGAAATGCAGCCCCAAAGAGAAGACAAGCTGCAAATTGAAGAAAGTGTTGACCTTCATACATCTTTATTCTTGGCCAATCCTAAAAAACTACTTCAAAAAAGATCATCTTTCCAATTTCCAGCTTATACATTCATCCCTCTCCCTCCAACTTCAAAGCCAATGCTTGATACCTGGGAAGCTGCAGCATGATAGCCATGTGTATTGCCTCTTGAGTTGTCGTGAAAGCAAAGCTGGATAAAATCTAGTGTATTGAATTTGTGTCATTCTAGAGAGAACAGAAGGCACTCTCAAATATCCTCCAGAAAGCATTCAGACATAATATTTAGATACATTAGTTAGTGTACTGAATCCAGCTTCTTTCATGACTCAGACGAGTCCAAAAATGAGACTCTTAATACAGGATGACACTGCAAATATAGTGAAGTACAGGGTATTCCAAAAGTCAATTTTGCAATTCATACATTTGTTGAACACACAGTGTGGCATTAGACTGGTAAAAGTGGGTGTTGAACCAAACTGACTATGCAAATGCTGATGTGCAAAAAAATTAAACAAGTGTTATGATGGCACCCCTATCATGTTACATGCCGTGCAATGGAGGGAAAATTCACCACAGACACCCCAAAACACACTCCCAGAACTGATATACAGCACAAGCTTAGAGATGAAATGACACAGCAGTGTTAATTTTGCTACCATCCCTCGAGACCATTCTAACCACCACTGGAACTCACAATGAATCATTACAATAAATACCTGGACTGCGTGTAGGGTTGCATGGAATGTAACACTTAAGTGGCACCATCACAATACCCAATTTGTTGAAGCACACCACCTTCCTAATAGTCAAATCAGTCCAAAACCTGACTTTACCTGTCTCAGGTCACAACGTGTATACTCCACAAGTGACTGAATAGCAATTGAAAAGTGACCTCTAAAACAAATTATACAATGGGCATGACTCAAATAAGAATTTCATACAAAATTGTCAAGCCTATTTGTTAACCATCTCCTAAAAGCAAATCTTGTCATGAACACTCTCACAAACTGAACAGGTTTGTGAGTAACATGCCTCTCTGCAGGAAAGCACGAGAAAAACCCATGATGGCCAGGAAAGTGAAGAGTTTAAATACAAGTGGGGAGAAGATACATGAACCATACAGAGGATGAAAAACAGCAGGAAATGCTTCTTTGAACTTTACCAGTGTCTTCTTTCACTATGACTGCTGACATAAATCTAGTCGATTCAGCATGACTTTGATTTTTTGACATGGAATGATTCTGCAAAATGCCTCTAACTCAAACTGAATTAAAAAATGATTGAATGTGTCTCTGGGTTTTCATACAAAGGCAAGAGGGCCTACTTGTGTATGGTAGACGATGGACTTCTTGATGATGGGGTTTCTGGGCATGACTTCTCTTCAAGGCTTTATCTTCCTGCGGCTTCTTCTTCTCAGCCTTCCTCAATAAATGCATCTTATTTTCTGCTTCTTGTGGCCCCATATTCACATCTTATTATCACACACACTAAAGATTTTCCACCAATGGAAGAAATTACGCTAATAAGCTAGTTCACCTTGCCTTTCTATGCTGAAACCCAGTTTAAAATCCCAGCTGGAAACAGCTATAATTTCCAGCTGGACTCCAGCTGTAAATTTGGACCCATTCCAACTGGGTAACAGCTGGAAAGCAGTCATCTCCAGATTTGTTCCTAATTGCTTTATCACTAACTGAATGAGAATCTTTTTGTTGACTATTTTTGTCGGAGGTCCATTTACAGGAACAGCTGATTTTCAATGTAAATTTAGCTACATTCCAGCTGTAGGGTCCTCTTTATAAAATTTTGCTAAGAAACAATTGGTACGTACTACTTTCCAGCTCTTTGCCAGCTGTAAATGGTCTGAATTTACAGATTTGGTTCAGCTGGAATATTCCAGTTGGGATTTTAAACTAGGAAGGCACACAGCACTAAGGCAGAAAATTTCAATAAATATGAGTGAGCCTTGTGGGAAAGAAAATCCTTATGTATATGGGCCCATTTGGCTGTTCTCATTTAAGAGCAGTGGGCAGAATGATACCAGACATAATCTCAGTCAGAGAGGAAGATATGAAGGGAAAACTCCCAAGTAAATGAATCCTAAGCTAATGAAGTTAGTTTACTGAGGGATTTTCAGCTATACTAAATTCTTATTAACCTAGGTTTGTTATTGAGGTTGTGTGATATTGTTCTAGCTATTAATCATCATTATTGTTATTGACATTATTGGCTTTAACTTTCATTCTAGGTGTAGATGGAGATACACATGCTTGAAGACCAGCAAGTTTTCCTGCCTAAAATTTGGTTAATTTCAGATAAAAATCACGAAGTGGTGATTACAGCTTTCCAAGAAAAATTTCCTGCTGCAAAAGCACCAAGGCAGAAAATAAATTCACAAGTTTGTCTAGAAGCTTAATCAAAAAGGTTCTATGAATTATGCACCAAAAAGTGGTAGATATCACATCACAGCAAGAACAGAGAACACACTTTATTGTGGGGTGTTAAGCTCACATGATGCAGATTGTTAGGATTTCTTTGGACTTGTGACAAAACTCTCAAAGACAAACCATCTGCTTTCATAGAACCTGTTTAACTAAATTTCTATGCAAGCTTGTGCCTTGGTGCTTTTGCATCAGGAAATTTATCCTGGAAAGCTGTAATCACCACTTAAAAATTTATTTCAGACATTTACCCATTTTTAAGTATGAATATTCACAGGCCTTTAGTCTTGTGTCTCTCCATCTTTGTCAAGAATGAAAGTAAAAGCATGTAACAATAATTATAATTAATAAGAAAAAAAATTACATTACACAATATTAATAACAAACCTAGGTTAATAAGAATTTAGTATAGCTGAAAATCCCTCAGTAAACTACCTTATGGGACACCCTGTAAATGTGACAAATACACAAACCCTTTGCTCAGGTGGGGAAGGGGAGCTTCACTTCCAAATTTCATTTGCACTGACGTTTTTCCATCCTCAACCTCATTTAACCATCAATGGATGCAACCATGCTCACAGCATCATTATAAACTCTTTTCAACAAAGAAAGGCTTAAAGGGAACATCATACCAGTCTGTTTCCAAAGAAAGACTCTCCAAAAAACTATTGGTATTACCTATACATTAAAAAAATGACAATATGACCCCACATTTGACTGAGCCCCTTTGACTTTGGATTTTGACCCTACCCTTCATCTTCTGGGAAGAGCCCATTCAATAGACAAAATAAAATCTCCAGTCAGGAAAACCAAACTCCAGTTTAAATTCAGATCACATGAATACACTTCTTAAGCAAATTAATTACATCATGAATCAGAGGCACTGAATTGGGTCCTGAGGGGAGTGAGTTGATGCCTTGGATCTCGACTTGAGGGCTGCCTTAGGGCATTGGCTGCATGTGTGAGCTGGAGTGCACATTCTGGATGGGCTGATGCTGGCAAGAGGGGACATTCTCTCTCCAATATCATTGCCAGACCCTCTAATAGTTCAAAGAAGCCCAGGGCAATGCTTGCACGTCTCACCCGGTTCACCTCCTATATTCAACATGGGGTGAACCACATTCCTACAGCATTTTTGGTTTCATTTTGCACTAAACTAGCATGAGCATGATTTCAATTCTGAGACAATATACTCCATTATCAATTAAATATGTCACCTGATGAAAGGAAGTCCATATCATTTCTTAAATCTACACCATATGACCATGGGCAGAGGAAGGGTGAAAGACTCATATACAACTGAAATTCAAAATAACAGATATACAACTTGCACTGTCATATTTTCCAGGCAGTGATGTCAGCAATAGAAACTTGCATAAGAAAGCATAGAAAGTTTCACTTGAGGGGTGCTAAGTCAATCCAAAAGCATTGTAATAAAAAGACTGAAATATTCTAACATCAACACACCTTGTAAAACTGTGGTGTCTTCTCTGGGAGTTTCCTTGCATTTCGGAGAATCTTCTGCACATCAGCCTGCAGACCTGATGGTTGAATCCATACAATGCAGTTCTGGGCATAGCTTCGCTTGTCAGATGGTTTCAGAGGAAAAGGACTTGAATTTTCAGAATCGTAGGGATTCTTGGACAGACTTTCAACTGGATGGAGCCTTGTGAGATCTCCAAGCCAAGGAATGGGACAGGATCCTAGGAAAACATTTAACATATTTTTGATTAATTTGTGACACTTCACTCAAGTAAACTGGGAAAGATGAAGGGCAAACCTGGAGGCAGAAGGGAAAGCATAAGATTGGATTTCTTCTTCCCATCAGCCCAAGAGTATATCAGACCATACCACTCATTTCCAACCTCACACAATCCCACCATGCTTTGAACCTATATATTACAGAAATATCAACATCATAGTCTTGTAATAATGCAGGGGAATCCTTCAATATCAAGGAAAAGGGCACTCACTTTCAGGGCACCATGAAGAAGAACGCAGACATTGGCAACGCTTCCCTCATCTTCATCCACACGTTCCCCTGGTTCTGAAAATCACGTATTACTTTTCATCTTTACTGAGGCTGCCAGGCTGATTTTGTACCTCAGTGATGCACAACATCTCAGATTCTATGCAATTGGAAATTCATTGCAGTGCAAGGAAATTCTTTTGACTCAAAACTCAGGCAATGCATTTTGATTGTCAATTTGAGGGTTCACTAAAAAGATCTAAATTTGACTGACAACTCAAACATGAGAATAAAAAATGGGATTTCAGTGATTCAGTGAGCCTCTATTTCAAATACTACTGGAATAAGTTTATTAAGGCCAAGTGCTTAAGCAAGAGAATTGAGATCCACCTGGATGAATTTCAAATAGCACTGTATTAAAAATTGGCCTGCACCTAACATTTTTAGATGGAAGGGGGTAGAAGTAGAAATAGGATAATACAAGTCCTACAGCTTGAAGATTTGAGCTGCAGATCCCATTCATCAAACAGAAGATTTTAAAATTTTGAGCAGAGATTAGAAGACTAGATTCCAGTTTATAACTGTGCACTGGTGTGTTGCCATGAAGGAGGATCCAATTCTTGTCTGCCCACATCTGTGGTCATTTCCTCCAAATTGCTTCTTGGAAATGCCACAGCACATCTTATTATTCACTGCTCTTCCCTTTTGAATGAACTCATTATGAACAATACCCCCATGGTCAAAAAACACCTCCAACATTAGCTTCCCCTTGGAGCAATCTTTGCAGATCTTCTTGGGATGTGAGACATGATATTGTATTGTCCCCATATGCCTGTCTCAGCATTCCAAAGGTCCCTGCAGCAGTTTTACCCAGTCTCTGGCAAAATTTCACTTTAGCACGCTGATCAAAACCTGACATCTTCACAAGGTGAATGCAGACCGCCAACTGATAGCTGAAGAGTTGCACGTGGTGCAACCCAGCCATTGTCACATGAGGTTCAGTAAGTGTGGAACCTTAACAATGTTCAGTAAAATTTGTCCTTGGTATGCAACACAGCGTTCGGTCACGGTGACCTGGGTTTCAAAACTTTTTGAACCTAGTAGTATATATATATATATATATATGAGTAAAGAACGTAGATATAACAAGTAGTTGGCCAAATGAGCAATTACCCGAATGGGCAGTGAAACTGCACTCATTCAAGGTGTGCCTATAGACTGAATAGTACTGTAATGTTCCTCCCAGGGAGGAACATTACAGTCTTCTTCTATTCAGTCTATATATATATATATATATATAATACGATGGACATTCACTGACAGAAGGGCTAGCCCTTGATCAGCCACAGTCCAGCATCCACGCGAGCACCCCGACAGGAATCTCAAAGTGAAACTAATTCCTGCCGAGAAATACCGTGAGAGACAGCAGTTCTTGGCTAATCAATGACAGCCCAACTACAATGCTACTATGCAAGTAAATCACCACTGGTAGTGTAGGGGTAAACTATTCCAGATGGTTATATAGATAGAAGATGTATCAAAGCCAGGAAAATTGGCACACTTGCGGAAGTAACTGGAAGGGCAATGCATTTAAATTGCCCTTCCAGTGTTCAATTTGCCCAATTGGGCAAAAATAAGTGTGCCGATTTTCCAGGCTTAGATACATCTTTTATATATATATATATCTGAAAGAAGGAAACCCGCATTGGCCATTGGATGATAGCAGGGACAAAAAAATGCACCTCGCAGCCAACCAAATTGAAGAGAAACCAAAAATTCCCCAACGTTTCTACTGTATTGTCGTCCTTGGGGGAACCCATTGCGTTCCATATATCCATCCCCTCTGAGTGACTCTATTATTCGAACAGCATCTGAGCGGCTTCGTAACCATCTCATCCATCGCCTATATGGGGAACGACATGTTCTCACCAATGAACTTATCAAAGGGAAAGGAGTTCTCTCTACATCTCTTCCTGCTCCTGCCTATCAAAAGGTTTTGTCTGACATCAGCCTTTGTACGGAAGAATTGAGGACGAATCTTTCTCTGCGACATGAGAAAAAGTACTCCAATCTACTTCAGGATGTCTATCCTCCGTGCCCCTCACAACATAACCAGACTGTGGTGAATCTGTCCAAGTGTCCTCTGTCTGTTTCAGAACTTTCCGTCCTCTCCAAGGGCCTGACTTTCTGCCCTTCTCGTAAGCCAGACCTAGTGCAAACTGCTTTTGAAGTTGAGAGATACCTTCGGCTTTTGAAGTTGAGAGATACCTTCGTCGCCTGGCTTTGAAGGAATATTTCTATGTTGATGAAAGTGGAGATTCTTCAATTCCACCTGATTCTCAATCGACAGGACCTACTACTTCTGTGAATGACCTTGAAGAAACAGCATATGATAAACATATTGCTAAAGTTTCCCCCCCATCTGATCATCTCTGGTTTCCACCCACAATAAGTGAGTCCCTCCGCTCCTACATCTCTGTTGTGAGGCACGAGGTAGACGGGGCTCTCAAGAAAATGTCCAAGCTGAAGACTAAAAGTAACTTATCTTTTTCTGAGAAAACTGCTCTCAGAAATTTGAAAGAGTCATTGGACATCGTTATCAAGTCAGCTGACAAGGGTGGCGCTGTTGTAATCCTCGACAAGGAAAAGTATCTCTCCGAAGCGTTCGGTCAACTTAATAATTTGGATTACTACATGCTGCTTCCCTCAGATCCAACAAGGGAATATGAATGTGAGCTTTCACAGCTCATGGAGTCATTCCCAAACCGATTTGGGGATCTGAAACTCCTGATCCCTAAGGTATCGTGCCCTGGTCGTTTTTACCTTCTCCTGAAAATTCACAAGCAACAGCGACCGGTTCCAGGCAGACCTATCATATCCTGCATTGGCACTTTGACTGAAAGAATCTCCGGATATATTGATGATCAACTGAAACCTCTTCTGATGAGCATTCCCTCTTTCGTGCGAGACACCACACACATGCTACAGATTCTGGATGAACTTCCTTCCCTGCCTCCTAGTGCAGTTTTGGTCACAGCAGACGTCACTGCTCTTTACACAAACATCCCAAAGAGTGAAGGTCTGGCTGCTGCCAAAGCTTTTCTTCGAAGAAACCAATTTGCGGAGGAGGATACTGATGTTCTTTTGAAACTCATGGATTTCGTTCTAACCCACAATAATTTTGTTTTCGATGGTCAACACTTCCTTCAAATTCATGGGACTGCCATGGGTACGTGCATGGCTCCTTCTTTTGCTATTTTGTTCATGACTGACCTCGAGGGACGGCTGCTCTCTTCAAGTCCTCAGACACCATTGATCTATCGTTGTTATATTGACGACATTTTTATGATATGGACCGCTGGAGATGGAGCCTTGCATGACTTCATTCAACATGCCAATCACTTTCATGAATCTATCAAATTTACTTTTAACACTTCGCCTCGGTGTGTTTCTTTTCTCGTTCTCTTGATCTCCTTGGATGGTGACCATGTCTCCACGACGCTTCACAAGAAACCTACTGACACTGGTGCCTACCTTCATTTCCAAAGTTTCCACCCTAAACACGTCAAAACATCTCTTCCCTTCACCCAGGCTCTTCGCCTGAAACGCATTTGCAAGTCCCCTACAGAGTACCGGAAACATCTGTCTGATCTCTCTCTTGTTCTCCAACGACGAGGATATCCACTTGCTTCTCTTCAAGCCGCTTTTCACAGGGCGAACCGGAAGAAGAGGAAAGATATTCTTAGATCCAATGAAAGAAACCCTAATCTGGAACGCATTCTGCTTGTGATGACATACCACCCTTCCTTATCAAAAATAGAAAGTGTCATGAAGCGGAATTTCCACATATTACAGGCAGACGCTAATTCACTGCTCATTTTTTCTGAACCACCTGTCATAGCCTATCGTCAGCCTCCCAACCTTGGACAAGAACTTGTCCGTTCTACCATCAATCCTGGCACGCGACCATCGAGGAGGGGAGCGCCATGTGGAGGCAGATGTTACGCCATTTGTCAACACTTTGCCTTCTCCTCAGGACAATTCCATTGCAACTCCTCAAATGTTGTTTACTCCCTCAAGTGCAAAAGATGCAACATGGAGTACATTGGTGAAACAGGAACATCATTCAGACTGAGGTTTAACAACCACAAGGCAAGCATCAGAAAACACGATCCCAATTTGCCCATTTCCCAACACTTCAGTCAGCCGCATCATTCACTATCGGATCTCCAAGCTGATATACTTTGTGGCGGGAATTTCAGGATCGCGAAGGAAAGAAAACTAATGGAAATGAAATACTGTATATTATCAGGAAGAAGACACACGCAATAGGACTGAATAAGAACCTGGGATTCTTGTCCAACTATTGCTTTTTCGACCCTATATCATAGTTAGTTAATATTAAAGAAAGATATTGCAATATCTTTCTTTAATATTAAGTCCATTACTATAACACCAGCTGTCTGTTATTGTCAAAGAGTCGCTTTGCATTCAGCAGCTTATGGTATACACGGCAATTGAAGTTTAATATGGTGCCAACTTTTGATTTGGGGCTATTTCATGGGTGGGAGTTAATGTGATGGCTTGAGACTCGTGTGAAGCAAGTAGGATTAGAGATTTCTCACTCTCTCTCATCTCTAAGTCCCCTGCTTCTGGGTCCAAAGGTTGGGCATTTTCTGTTGCCCTTGGGTAGTTTCAAACAATTTCGGCACCACATAACTTCTCTTACTCTATATATATAACACATACAGATGTGATTTCACTATTTTTCATTCATGATACATAAAAAGAGTGATTCCAAACCTAGATTTAATCTGTACTCAATATTTACATTTTCATTACTATACTGCAATGTACCAGGTGTTGCACATAGATCCTCCCCCTCTGGTCTGAACTACAGGGTGTCCCATAAGTCAAGCATCATAGGGAAATTCAAATTTTATAATGACACTGAAAAACATATGTTCAACATGTTTGCCATTATTCTTAATGCATTTTCTCAAGCAGTGTTACCATTCTGCTTGAACATTCCTCAACTTTGCATTATTGGCTGCCAATACAGATAGTCATTATTGAATCTCTCAGCAACCTCTCACTGACTGTGTCCCACACATTTGTCCATGCTTATTGACATCTTCCACTATCAGTTTCAATACTCAAATCCTGGAGGAAAAAAAAACAAACAAACAAACAAAGCAAAAAAACTGAAATAACAGAAATCAAAACCTGAATTTTCCCATGATGGGACACCCTGCATAAGAGAAAGGAAAAAAACTCATATACAAGGGCCACTCAATAAGTTATCTACCTGAACATGAAAGGAATGAGCAACAGGCCTGTGCTTGCTGTGACATGTCTTGACAGGTCTCGTGAGTGCCCCACCACTATACCAGCTCAGTGGCTCAAGTCCGTTCAAAGTGGTAGCGCATTAGATTTCTTTTCCTGAGTCTGTGTCATGGATTTGACGAAAGTTGAACATCGTTCAGTGATCAAATTCCTGACCAAAGAAGGGAAAGCACCTAAGGAGATTCATGAACGTATGTCTAACGTTTATGGTGTGTCTTCGCCTTCTTATTACCAAGTTAAATTTTGGAGAAAGCAGTTTAAGTGGGGAAGAGAGTCAATTGAAGATGACCCAAGGTCGGGGCACCCTGTGGAGGCTTCTGATGAGGAAATGTGTGACAAATTGGAGAGCGCGATACTGGAGGATCGTCGCACCAAAGTCTCTGTTTTAGCTCATGAACTGGGGATTTCAGAGGGCACAGTGATTCACATCATTCATGAAAAATTACACATGTCCAAAGTCAGTTCTCGATGGGTCCCAAGAATGCTGACTCCAGCTCNCAGAGGAAAGTTGTCAAGGGGGGGTCCTTCTTCTCCATGACAACAAATCATGTCCACAAATCATGGAAAGTTCAGGCAGCAGTGAGGGAGTGTGGCTTTCAGGAGCTCAACCATCCTTCCTACAGCCCGGATCTGGCTCCTAGTGACTATTTTCTGTTCAGACACTTGAAAAAATTTTTGCGGGGAAAAAGATTTTCATGCAATGAAGAGCTGAAAGTTCCCGTTTCTGATTGGTTTGATGGGCAAGAAGTTGACTTCTATTCCCAGGGAATAAAATCCTTGGAATCAAAGTGGAATAAGTGTGATGAGTTAAAAGGTGACTACATTGAAAAATAAAGTGTTATTTTTCCCCTCGGATGTTTCTTTCTTATTCAGGTAGATAACTTATTGAGTGACCCTCGTATCACAAGAAAGAGCATTCATTTTCAAATCTAAACATGTACTTCTAGTGATTTGTGCGCACCTTGGCTGTGTTTCTGACAGCTTTAAGAGGAGTGGGGTAAGATGAAAAGAGATGCTTAAAGAATTCCATGTCATCTTCAATGTCCTACAACATTGGTGGTGTTGCTTTGCAAGGCTTCTCAGGAGAATCCATGCTGCTTGCCCTCCATACACACAAGAGCCTCAATTCAATCTTCCAAGATAACCCCAATGTTCCCAGCCACATTCAGAATCAGGAGAGTTTCCCGACAATTCTACATTCCCAAATAAATCAATCCCTGAGTCTTTCAGCATTTGCTGTGAGGTCGAAGTTTTAGAAAATTGGGCTTCATCAGGCATTAAATCTTTTTTATAACCCATGAACAGGTAATCATTTCAGCTCTGGCATCATGAGCTTTCTCTAAACCTAATAGCATGGATGTGATCAATGAATTTAAGTTCTTCACCACCATACAATATCAAAAACAACAAAATGGGATAGAATAGAATCAAAATTGAACAAGGATTCCAAATATATTTTAAATTTTTTTTATAGCTCCTACAGTTTAGGATGTGGATGGGGGGAGTTTTCTATGTGCAACACCAGGTAGTTTGATCCAATTCTATCAATTTAACAGATGCCAGGCTAGTTATTCTTGTACTTGTTGGAAAAGGGTAACAAAAATATTTCTCACTTTCTAGTGGCTTCCATCACTATATTGAGAAAAAATTAATGGTATCAATACATCATATTTTTCCCTGGAAGTAATAGTATTTGTGTAACAGATGACTAATTGAGTGAGTCCAATCCAATTGACCTTCCAACATGAGTGTGAAGCAGCAAGTATAATGGAAATGGCTTTACAGCAATGAGATAGATTCTGTCAAGCCTTCCATATGTCACATTTATCTCAGCCCACCAACCAGTCAGTGAAGTCAGTTTGGCAAATTTCAATGCTGAGATAAGAAGTTTTTTGGTAGATGAAATTTCACAGCTAGCAAAGTCTGTATCATGAATAATTGTGTTTGAATGCAAACTTTCTCTGTGAGCAAGCCAACCTTGTCTCAGGTATTGTCAACAAGGAAACTAGTGACAGAGACAAGCAGGTAAGATGAGGATTATAAGAGGACATTTCTTTTTCTCTTCAGTTTCCACAAGTCTCACCATGCTTGCTTGGGAGAAGAGGAAGGACAAGATGGGTTGAGACAAAGGGAGGATTAGACACATCCGAGATTTGCAGAAAACCACAGATGGAAAGATCCTTTGATATGATGCACAGCTCACTCTCGCTCTCTTGCCTCTGTGGCTGTGAAAAAAATTTCCCTCATTTCATTGCACAAGTGAAAAGATCAACAGAAGGGTAGATGAAATACCTGAGGAGGTGGGGACAAGGAGACATGAGATGTGAGAGTCCCACAGTGAAGAATTCCCCTGTATGAGGCAAAACACTTCTCTGCCAGATCCTGGGCCATCCGAATTGAACTCTACTGACACATTTGACATCATTAATCATAATTAATGTTAATCATTCCTGAGAATCTTTCCATCTTGGAAAGCACTTGATAACTGACTCAATACACTATACTCTATGAATTTATTGACTCAAGACTACAACTAATGCTTACACACCTGCCGATTGAGTGCCTTCTTGGGCAGAAATACACCACCAGGTGTAGCTCCACGTTCCACCAGTTTCATAAACACTGATGTTGGGGAAAGTATAGATGAATCATGATTACCAAGACAGAGAATGCTCAAGGTTGCTGGGAATGGGAATGGAAGCAAGAGAGAGTCAAAAGAGGCATCAGGTGTCTTCCGACTGGAGTTCTCTGTCAGCCGTAGATGAGTTCCAGTCACTAAGATGACCTATGAAATAAAATACATTGATGACATGTGTCTACAGAGACACAGGAATTGAAAAGGAATCTGGCCATAGGCAAACCTGACAGGATGCAGAGAAGCCCCATTCATCTTGAACAACCTCAGATGCCTTAACAAGTGCAGGTGCCAGAACACTTTGGTCTCCATAAGTGACATTCTCCAGCACTCCATGAAGGACTTCAGGGTCTCGACTGAATGGACACATGAGACTGGCTTTCCATGCAAACTGAATCTGCAAAATTTAATGATGGGAAACTTTGAATGTAGTTACAAATACTCATGTACAGACAGCAGAAAGTAGGCAGAGATGAAAGTAAATACAAGGGAGATGCATTCCAGTTTGCAGTTGTTGAGAATGTGGCGGAGTAGAGTCTTCACTGCAACAATAGCTAGCTCCCCTTTGCTAGCAGACTCCTCAGTGCTCACTGGAGCACACATATAAATGGATGTGTCCAACAGTATCACTGTCGGCATTTCTCTTTCATCAATAAAATTTTTTACCTAGTGAACAATTTCTTTGCTTACCTACCATTGTGACGATAAGCGATTGATACTGAATATTCTATTGAATATAGAATAACTTTCAAAACCTGCACAAAAACCACATCATCCTATAAAGCAGGGGTCAGGAACCTATGGCTCATGAGCTGAAAAGTTTGGCTCATGAGTCATGGCTGAAAATTATGGTTGTTCCTCATTTTTCTCATGAATGCACACATGACTGTTGCCAACTACAGGAAAAATTCAGTTGTTTTGAAAATATTTGGCTCACAAGCACTTAGCTCAAACATAATACAGCTCACATGCCCAAAATGGTCCCCGACCCCTGCTATAAAGCATAAACAGTGAAGAAAAGTAGTAAGTTGTCCATCTCAATCTCATACTTGGGCTTTCCCAAACAAGGCCAAAGATTCTGATGCAGAATCCCAGGAGAGTGAGATAGAATTAAAACCAAAGCAGTAAGGAAGGTAACACAGGATAGAGAGAAAAAAAAGCTATATTCTCATAATTGTCACAAAAATCAATCCCATCCCCATATCCCATGTGATTCTTTGACAACCTGAACATTCTCCCTTCTCTTGCGGAGAACAGCTGATGAATCTCCTTTCAATTTGACTTTGGATCCACGAGCATTTTGTTTTGATCGTTCCATCTTCAGCCTCCGTTTGATCTCACTTGGGGCAATTGTGGAGGCCATCGAGTATCCACATTCACTTCTCCCTTCATCCAATTGGAAACTCAAACCACAAACAGAATCTGAATCTGAAGATGGAATCTGATTCACCCTTGAATCACCTACTGTTGGATTGTCTTTTCCCTCATTTTCATTTTTCTCTTTCTTTTGCATATCTCCAGCTCCCCTCACATCCCCTCTGGGACACTTATCAGATATATATTCCTCTGCTTCCCCTTCCATTCCTTCACCACGTTCCTCCTCTTTTTCCTCTTCACAACCTGATGCTCCTTTTTCTTCCTCCTCCTCCTCCTCCTCCTCCTCCTCCTCCTCTTCCTCTTCCTCTTCATCATTGCTTCCTCCAACAGCTTTACGGAACCCACTTGCCTCCATCTCAACATCCAGATCTTCAGTACGTCTGCAGGAAATGTTGAACGTGTCAAGAATTGGAATAAATGAAGGGTGGCCCATTCATACGATGGGGGAATTCAACATAGTTCCTTCTCACTTGACATCATCCCAGGATGGATAGAGCTCAGATTCAAAATGAAACCGCTTCTTGAAGAAGTCACTGATGCATGTCACATCGCGCTCAAAGTACCTGTGAGAGGCATGCAATCAAGGCATTAAAGAACTTTGGGCCTGCTGGAAGGGAAACAATTCTAGTCAACACTGAACTTACATTTTGGCATTTTGGTGACTTGTAGAGAGCATCTGAGGGAAATCAATCAGGATGGGCTTCTCATCTTCACTCAGCATCAGGTTAAATTCATTGAAGTCCCTAAGACATAATTCACCACATAAGGATTCAGCAGGTGCTGTCAGCTCAAAAAAAAATAAAAGAAAAATAGACAGGAAAAAGAGAAAGCATCAACTATACAAATCCACTGAGTAGCACAAAACTCACCCATGAATTACACCATGGCATCCAAGCCTCAGCACAAGGTCCATGAGCTGATCATATAAGTCAGCTGGGTCTGTCACACTCCCAACCTGGCAACTACAAACAAGAATTCCTTGTAGGGTCTGGTATTCCAAATAGACCTACATAGCAGATGATTAGACTGACAGGGGGATGCCATCAACCAATTCCATTATGACACAGTGGCGATTCACATCTTTTGGAATTGGGACAGGAAATCCACGGTTGTGGAGGGCTTTCATGTAGGCAAATTCTTTAATAGCTGCTAGGCGTGAGAGGTAGATCCAAGATGCCTTCTGCCTCTTGCCATGATAATCTCGCTTTTCCTTGATCTTCCGGAAGGATACCCTTCCCAACCTGCAATAAACCATAATTTACCTCAAAACTACATTCCTCATAATGGTATCAACAATGCAATACTCGAGAATCAACAAATGATATTTGTTAACATCTGGATCTTCCATTATTCAGTTACCACAGCAACGAGTAGTTGGGAAAGAATGAAGTTCTTCCTCGCAACGATTGTCCTCATTCAACTCGCACAAGCCCATGGCTTCTTTGGAAATCACTTGGATCTACATGGTTAGTTCCTCAGCAATTAGTTCTATTCTAGTCAAAACTGTAATTAATAGGTTTAAGTACTCAACATAGCATTGCTGTGTTTCCTACACCTATAATGATTGCAGCTAAGGAAAGCAGGGAGATTGGGTCATGGGCACCAGTATCCATCCATTCCAAAGAAGGCATGAATCCATCACAACCATACAATCTGCCTATTCCCAAGAGACAATGGTCAAATCCAGAAGACCAAGAGTTCAATATTCCTGCAATGGCACTGGACACATTGGCAGAGCAGATTCAACAGATGATGCGAGACTACAAATGGTACAAGATGGCACAAGAAGAACAACAGGCTGAAGATGAGAAAGCCAGCAAAGGAAACCTCTTCCAGATTCCACAGAAACAGATCCATATGATCAAGAAGCGAAATGAAGGGGTCAAAGGTGATCCTCCATGGTGGTACACGGTATATGTGAATCGTGAATACGAGAAAGAGCCAGTTACACAGCGTGACCCTAATGTGGATCCTTTGGAGGAACTTCGCCGGTACTATGGCGAGAAAAATGATGAAAACAGCAACGAAAAGATGAAGGACTTTCTTGTCGATCTTGTGGAGAAGTGACTCTTCCATATCCCACTCTCATTTCACTTCCTATTCTAGATTTATTAGAATTGTTTTCTAATTTCTTCATCAGGTACCCATGGCTCAAAGACTCAATCAAAAATGATGAAAAACAAAAAGGGCCATCAAGAACATGAGATTTGACTGGGACACACTGGCGAGAGAGAGAGATCTCCTTCTGCAATCCTGGATTCTCCCTTCAGTTATGAATGATCCATGAATAAATTTTAAGAATTATTGTACAACCAATCAATCATTTGTTAAGTTGTGGCAGAATGAAATTCAGGTCTTCTCCTTTCATGCAAATTAATTTCTCTAACCACAATGGGGTAATGCAGCAAGAAATTGGGAACACACTTCTACTTCCCGAGGAGCACCTTTTCAGCTGTGTTATTAGATGGAAACAAAACCTAAATTCTTGTTCAAATTGAATTATAACCTGAGCACTGAAGTTCCACATCATCAAAGGAATTTCTGCAGAGACATCTAATTCGTGAGTATCATGCTGATTGTACATTATATGGAATTAAAATGGATACACCACTCCATCTCACCAGCCATCATTCCTTAAAGCATGAGGCAGTAGAATCAAACTTGTGACCAGACTGTGAATCAGTGTGATGAATATAAGTATATTTTGGATTCAGATGCTGAAGGGACTCACTACAGATGCAAGTCATTCTTAATCATGATTCTGATCATTAGCGATTGTGATAGTGACAAAATCCCTTTTGAAATGATTCATGAACTACAAAAGATAATGCAATTGCTTCATATGAGAACTCAAAAACAACATTTAGAGAAACATTTCACCAGAAAATGACAATCCCCCACTAACTATTACATACATATATAGCCATTAAAAAAAACTGCCAGTTGGACATTTTGTAATCAATCAAAAGAGACTGATTACAGGGATTCAAGTTTGGTTAATAAGCTATAAGAGGATGAATAAGAGCAAGATGTAGGAACATTTGCTGCCTAACATGCAACATCCACAGCTTCTTTTTTTTTTTAGCTGATTGAGAACAGCTAATCACTTTAAGTATAGTTATAGAGGATCATGAAACATATAGTAACAGCTAAGGACTGTCTGCAGTTGCATCACACAAAATTTCAAAGAAAGTTCTAGTCAGATACAGATACCCATACAAAGTATTATTAATTTAATGTAACATTTTGTTACCTTTGACTAATGTGCACTTCTGGTTTATGCAAGGCCTGATGGACTAGACTGATGCTCAATGCAGCATCTTCAATTCATTTTCCTCTGAAGAACCCCTTCATAGTAAGAAGTAATTTTCACCTCTTGCTTAATGTCAAGGCAAAACAAGCTCTCAAGCTTTTCTCCAAAGGTCCCCTTTCACTGGCATTGGTGTTTTCTGATGCCCAGAAGATGCCAATGTCCCCTCCACCAGTGCAACCAGGAGGAGGTTGGAAATTTAAATATCCAACAGTCAATGAAAGGGTTCATTAACTTTGAAATTACCCTTTGTCCTTGGCAAAGCTGGTTCTCTTACCCTTGCAAAGTTTATTTTTCCATATAATTATTCATTTTGATCCTTGTGTTAATTTATCTGTTAATGTTCTGCTTGTGTTTTAAAAACTCCAGTGAGAATGGAATCTGATGTCTGATATACATGACAGCAACAAGCTTAACCCCAGAGAATCATGTTTTAATAGCCATACCAAGAGTAGGACATAGCAGAATGACAAAGTAAGAATAAATCTGAAGCTGAAAATTTTTGTCAGGAACAAACAATACAAACTTGAAGTAATATTTCATGGAGTTTTTCAACTTAGTAGGAAAACAAATCTGGCAACATAAAAACCACATTAAAATGCGTTACATATGTGAAAGAACTCTTGACCTGAGAACTCATCCATCCATCTGTAAATGAGAGAATAGCTAAATCAGTGGTTCCCAACCTTATTCCTTAGTGTGATCCCATCACGATAGCTGTAAATTCTTACTACCCTAACATCATGCACAGACAGGATCAACATTTTTCTTTTGAAAATATGGCATTATAATGAATGTTTATAAATCACCCTGCATAAAGCATGATAATAAATAACATCCTGTCAGGTGGCACCATAATTCCCTTCTTTTTTTTTATCATCCTAACCAATAGGTTGGAAACTGCAGACCTAGATACAAATATACTCACATCACAATCACTTGAAAGGGTACTAGGGTAGAACAGCTAGATGAGACCAACTTAGCTACAGCCAAATGCTTCCATAACGTGCAAAACTCAATACATTGTTCTTCTGGCAAAAATTGCACATAAGAAGTTGAAAAAAGCATAAACTCTTCCTGCAAGAGAAAAGTAGTAGATATGAAAAAATGAAAGACAGACTGATAAAGTACAGAATCCAGAAGTTCTGAAGTCCTTTCTAGAAGTGATGAAAGTATGACTCACCGATGAATCTTCAGGCAGAGCTGTTCTCCCTCTTCATTTGTGACCACATAGATGTCAGACTCTTTCCCAACTCCAATCTGACTTCCAACCCCTGAGATGACATTCCGTGATACCAGTGCCTTCAGTGCAAGGTAATCATAACCATTGTTGGTCAGTCGATACCCATCATCTAGAGATGAGGACACAGAAACAGTCCCTAAGCCCTGTCTGAAAGTAAAAATTGTGGAGAAACCATAAAAGGCAAAGCTCACATTGCTTGCCACGTTCATATGAGACAAGACGATGCTTGCATAATTCCCTGAGAATCTTGTGTACACCTCCATGCCTCAAGTGTGCAATAGAGGCAATCAGAGTCCCTGGAACAATCTCATGATTCTTCATCCCCATCTCAACCTATTCAAAGGAGTACATCAAGTGCTGTCTTTTCAGGTCTTGAGTGCTAGGAAGTTTTTCACATGCTATTTTCATCACAATCAAATGCTGTTGCTGACAAACTACATCAATGGGTGATCATGATGCTCTAACACAGCTCATATCTCTCATTGGGATTTTCCTTTTCCACAGGGTAATAAGTATGCCCCTTAAGAAAAGTATTGTCGGCACAGGCATACTCATGCATTTCAGAAGAATGTACCTGAGTTCATCTTACCATTCATGTATTTCAGAAGGAAGTCCATGAGTTCATCCTATCATTGGACTTATGAACTGGGGTAAAGTATGGTGACATGCAATAATAGTGTGTCTCTAAATGAAAAAAAGGAGAGAAAAGAAGGGAAAGTAATGATGCACAGAAGGAATAAAAATGCATTAGTGGTTCGAAAGTATTACAAGTGTACCTCTTCTAGTGCCTTTAGAGGCTATCAGCTAAGATAATTTCTTGAAATACTTGAAATGAAATACCATTCATGAGCATGGACTACAACATTTTTGCTGATAGCAAAACAGAGGCCAGAGGAGAAACTTATCTCTGCCTTCCACCATGATCACCATATAACACTCTCCATCACGGAGTTGATTGAGTTAATCAGTTTCAAGGCTGACTGGTTCCAAGCATGTAAAACAATGCATCATTTTTTTGGTCAGTTCATTCCAGTTTTGGCCTCCAAATCTGAGTATTTAAGGAGGAAAAGGTCATACACAGAAATATAATTTGGAGATGTTAGCATTCAAAGCCAAGGCAAAATTTCTGAAACCTACACCATACATACACATAAACACATGCCTGTCTGATGATTACCCCTTCTGCATCATTCTAAGCAATCCAAAGCTCATGACCTAATATTGTGCAAATATAGATAACTACATAAAATATTTAGCTGGTGCAGTCCTACATTCTACTTCTATTTGGCTGTTTCTTCCTGAAAGTTCCATGAATTCACTATAAAAACAATACTAAAAGGTGTCACAATAGCTCTCATTTAGGTATTCATTACAAACAGAAACAATTAGTGCTTCCAAGTGAAAAACTCGTTACTTTTCTCAAGGCATACCAGAAGGCTCTGAGAATTTTAATTCTCTGAAAGTTTAATTCTTGAGACTCTTATTCTCTTTCTACGAATATCTTTAAATAAGAGACAAATATGCAGTTTTGACATTTTTAGAGAAAGCAAGAATTCTTTCTTCTTTAGGACAGCAAAATGAGACATTTTCAACTTCACATCAGGAAGCTGGGAGTCTCACCTCTCAAATGCTAAGACAAACTTTCAGTTTGCATCTCCCTTTACACTAGTTATGTTCTTTGTTGGCTGAAGAAAATCCCCCAAAAATAGATCACTTCAACCTTTGCTCATGAATCCTTTAACACTAGAACTATTGGAAAAGTCATTTTGACAGCTGGCCAATTTTTAATGCACTTTACTCGACTTGTTTGGCAACTAAGGGCCTTTGCAGTTTTTATTTTTCCTATCTAATATCAATATTTTGAGCATTTTAATATTTTGAACATACCAAATTACATCTGGAAAAAGCAAAATGTTACAGAATAATTTTTATACTCCTTTTAATGCAGTGGTGAAATTGACCACTCTGGTAGTCCTAGTGTTAACCCAGACATACCTGGCATTCTATATGGGTTATTCCACACCAAGTGGTCCTTGGAGTTTAGCCAGAAATTTTCCTCAATATGCAAATATTACTTTCACTACAGAAGCTCATCTCTTTTCCCAGAAGACATGAATGAAAGAGAACATTACATTGAAAAATGAAAGAGTTAGTCATGATTATGATACATTATTCATACCACTCTCATGATACTAAAAAATGTGATGAATATGCAAATCTGGAGAGACAAAATTAAACTATTGGAATAGATGCCAGCATCCATGCTGGCATCTATGTGGCATCATATCAGTATCCATGCATACTGATAATTTCAAATCAGCTCAGGTGTGAAGAGTAGATGTCAATTGTTTACATTTGAATGATATCTTTACTTTCTGTTTGAAGTGTTGTAATCATGGGATGACTTACACTAATTCTGGGCTTTCATTCAATCCATAGAATGAACATGAAACTAAATTATTAGGGTCCACTCAATGACAGATATGTGAGTATTAGAGCAAGTAATAAGTTTCCCGAAATATCATGTCTGACGCTTTTCTTTGCACACCTCTAACAAAAGAGAGAGTGCAAGACTTTAGGTTAGGAAATTTTGTCACTACCAAAAGCAAATTTTTGCAGCCTTTATATGCTGCTATGTCATCCATAATACAGTTAAATACATTTTGTATAACTAAACATATTACTCCAGATTTCACATCCAACACCGTGGACAGACCCATATGTAGGACAGCATGCAGAGATGCACATCCACATAATACATGAGTTCTCCACCTAGAATGCCAGACACAACCAGATTAATACTGCCAACCATAGCATACCAGACTGGCACATACATACCTTAGGACCAAGGATTATGAAAAATACTTCAATATTTATCCATTCCACAGAATTGTCATTCTGATGATATATCTGCATATACTGAGAGGACAGCCATGAAAACATTGTCATACTGGAAAGAACATAACATACATCATGAAAACTCCAGTGATTCTTGTGAAAATCAATCTGACACTGGATTAGGAACAATTGACAGACAAATCTAAGCATAATAAGAAAAACCATCCATATTGAACCTGCTTAGCTCAAGATTCACCCTCATGAAGATTAAAAAAAGTCATTGGAACTCACAGCAGTGAGCACCCGGAAATCCTCCTTCGTCAAATACCTCAACAAGGTTGCATTCAGCTTCCCCATATTGGTTCCGATGATTCTTGAAACAAATCTAACTGATCTATTCAAATTTTGAGATAAACAAAGCACCTATGAAAGAACCAGTCCCAATGAATATAACAAGTATATGTAAATGATAACCAATGACTGAATTATGACTGATGGGAGTATCAAGTCCATGGCCCAGAAAGGGCCAGCTTGTATCTTGGACAAGCTCTGGCCTGTTTTTCTTACAATTTGCGAAGCTTGTTCTCTTAACCCTTTCATGCCGAATGATTCTGTTTGGAACCAAGAACTTTCCACATTTTAAAAATCCATTGTATGGATGCCTGCAAGCTGTTGTCAGCATTGACTCATCATACCAGTTCCTGCCAGCAAGATTAAGATGACAACAGCCTCATTTTATTAGTGCAAGTCTAGTAAATGTCTCATAAGAGCACATTATTATCCTATGTGAATTTGAGATTAAGTTCTTTTTTCTAAAAAATTCTGGCATGAAAGGATTAATAAGTTTCAGCCACTAAAATCATGAACCAAGAACATTATTATATGCTACCTGCAAGAGGCATTACAGAAAGAATGTATACAATGCAAAAGCTACCATTCAAAAAATTTCAAACCAAACTGAACATCACAAGATATAGGCAGAGACTCAGCTGATTGCCAACAAGTTTCCACTCTCATCAAGTTTTCTGAAGCCAAGAGGACAAGAGTTCTTGCAGGAGAGGCAAGATGACTTTCCGTGATGCTCTATAATCTCCTTGTTCATATACAGCAAGTGTCTTTCCCTCAGTTTTCAACATCAGTTGAACACGTGGGTGAAGGGCTGCATGTATTGCTTTCTTCAACTCAACATCTCTGGAGAAGATGGCACAATCTCTTTTGACAAAACCAGCTGGACTGACTGTGATACCGAGGAGTATCAATGCTGACAAATTCCAACATGTACACTTATCCAAAAGCAATTCTTCTGTGGCCATTTTTGTAAATTCTTCCACAAGCAAAGGAACTGATGAAATTGCAATTACAGGAGGCTCAAGGAATTTAACATCCTTACGAAGCACTTGTTCTGGACTTAGATACTGGAGGTCTTCCTTTGCATTTTTTATAGCAAAAAATATTTCATTTCGGTTCATGACTGGAAGAAACTTTTCCAGAGCGAAGATCACAGCTTCATCTTTATCAGTCTTCCTGCCTGCTGTTGGGCTTAGGTTGACAGTGTCAAGCAGGATAGTACCCCAAAGGAGACTGACAAGGTTTGAATCTCCCTTTAATAAATCTGGAGCGTCTTTCAGGAACCTCTGAGCCACAAGTGTAGTACATGACCCTACAGGCTCAATTACCACTTCTGTATCAGGTCGATACTGTACTGTTGCAACCCGCTCACGATGATCGATGATCAAGTCAACACATGGCTCCAAAGCTTTATCTTGTTTGGGTAGAGTATGGTGATCCATTAAGGCAAGTCTTAACAGACCTTTCTTTTTTAGGTCATGAAGATCAATGTCATCTCTGCAGAGAAGCAATTGTTCATCATAACCATTATGCCTGAACCAGAAGTTAACCTCTGTTCGCAATGGCACATCTTCCCTTAGGATATTAAGCATGGGGACAACATTTCTGGCACTGGACTTCTCACGAAAGCTCAGGAGATAAGCAACTGTAGCTGCAGACACTGAAGAGTCAAGATCACATGCTTCATTGCCAATGCAGACGAGAATTGGAGCTTTCGCAGAAGCTGCCAGAACTTCCCTTGACCGCCGGAGAAATGCTTCCATCTGAAGAGATGACACATTTGCAAAGGCATAGGGCAAATCTATCCTTTCAAGTCAAGCCACTGATGAAATCACTTCCTAAGTCTGTTCTGGGAAAGACAGCATAACTGACATCACTCCCTGTTTGGCCAGCCTATTACTTAAAATTCAGCTATAGGTTCCTGACTCAATTCTGGCTAATCTCATGACAATGGTAAATGATGGTACATGAATTTCTCTGCCAGAAAGTACATTTCTCAAAAGAACCTAGCACCTTTCAAGGCAGATGTGCATTCACAAACACTTAAAAGATTACAGAGACTGCATTCATATTCTCACAATTGATTCACTATATCATCAAATAAGAATTACTGAGAAAATGAAAACAGCAACAGGCTCATCTTGAAGGAAAGTCAGTCTTATTGATTGCCTCAGTTAAAATTAATCTTTGGCTGAAACAATATTTGGTCCATATTATTGATCAGAAGACCTCTTGTATCATGGCAGGAAACATGATGCTGTCTCCAATATTGCCTGAAGCAGGCATATGATACTTCTAGAACAATAAAGGCTTTCCTTAGTGAAACATCTGCATATTAGAAATTCCATTGATTACAATAAATGAATTCAAGATTATTCCCCAGCTTTATTTTGCAAAATTTCACAAACATACCAGGACATTGAGTGCTTCAGGAAAAAGAACACAAGTAGGCACATTAGCATGACAGTGGGCATTCCACTCTGATCAATCACTGTCAAGATCAATGACTTCAGGCGATGTTGGGCATGGGGGAGGAGGATTGGGGGCAGACTGTGAAGGTAGAGGAGGAGGAGGAAGAGGAGGATTGGGAAGGGACTCAGGAGGTGGACGAGGAGGAGGTGGAGTGGATGTGGGCAATGGTATGGTCTCCACATTCCCATTCATCTTTGCTTCCTCTTCTCTCTTCTCTGTCTCTGGCTTGACTTCATCATCATCATCTGACAAGTCCACAATTTCCAATTCCTTCACAATTCCTAAGAAGAGAAGAGTACATTACCCTCATCAGCAGCAGTCAGTTAGATGTCAACTTCTCTCATCAACTATGTTTTCGACAGAGGTGCTAGCAAGGGGGGGGGGGGGAATTCAGGGAATTTGAATCCCCCTTAAATGCTTAAAAAGCTCATCTTCCCCAAATATGCATGGATAATGCAATATAGAAGGCTCAACTTATGAGTTTAGCAGACATATTACCACTCAGCATTCCTCCTGCAATTCCCAATCCCAAGAATATCTCATCTTCTAATTACAGTGGGCAAATGGCAAGTGCCAACCACCCCCCCCCCAGTCCACCAGCTTTGAATAATTTTGCTTTCTAAATTATTAGAACCTCTTACCTGTTGAAGTAACTTTGCCATCAACTTTCCCATCCCTCTTCTCATCTTCTGGAAGTAAGGGGACCCAGGTGGCATCTGCCTTGATTTCAATGTCTTCAGCTGAAATGTTTGACTTCAGCACATCATCAAAATACCTGGATGGAGAGAAATACATCCCTGGATATCATGACATGCAAGAGGTAAAGACTTGTCTACAACAAAGCTCTTTACTTGTCAAGCATAAGCTCCTCAAAGGGTGCAGGCTTTTCACAGACAGGACATATCCAGGATGGCTTCTTTTCATTCATAAAGATGTAGTTGAGGGCATCAAAACACTGGATGTGCTTGCAGTTGGGGTCAGCACGGCAAGGGTAGTTCATGCGAGACTTGGTGATGGGGCAATTGACACTCACACGTAAGGAAGTCATTTTTAGCTCCTCATCTATATCCTGTGCCAGCTTCTGTGCAACTGCATAAAATACAACTCCATGTTAAACCTAATGCTACACACCCCTCAGATAATATTCTGTAAATTTCAAAGCTTCTTTTTGCTTAATAATTTATTTTACATCCCTTGTGTTCCAAACTTTGCATCAAAATTTCAAACTTTCACCATTGAGAATCTATATTAGATACCTTTTTGTAAGATTTTACTCATAGTTTACTTGCACCAATTATTATCCAAACTGCTACAAAGGTTAGTAAGCCATTTGTGAACATTTCTGAGCATCACATGATAAGAAGACGAAAAGAATGCAAATCTGGCAAGACTAGTAACTCCCAGTCACACCATGTGATTTTGCTCCAGTCTTGCACAGTATGGTCCCTTCTAGAAAGTACAGTTCATTGAACTGAGAGACAACTAACACAAATAGCACTTATTCTGAGAGTCATCAGGCAAGGACTTGGAAACTCACTGAGATTCTTGGAATGTTCAATGGGTCGGAACCCACGTTCCTTCAACTTCCGCAACAACTCAGCTGGTGTTATCTTTCGGACCAGCCATATGGAAGCACAGAAGTTTCTGTTTGATTCTGCACTCCAAAATATGTCCAGGACATTAGAGAGCATTGGTGAAAGATATGCTTGATGAGTGATATTGAGAGGACGTGGAGGCCGGCGAATGTCTGCCCCTTGTCGAGTGGCTGGGATGATTGGCTGCTCAAAATAAAGATCAAAGGGACTTGTCACATGATGACAGTGATAAAAAGCAGGACACAAGTAGCAAAGCTAAAAAAAAGGTGAAGAAGAATAGGAACAGGAAGAGTACATATACCCCAAAACCTGCCTGAAGCAGAACCTGGAAAAGAAGGAAACCTGAACAAGTCTGAATATTCCTTGACCCTGTGAGGTACTTTTTCTGATAGGTTTTACTGTAGCATGGATACAAAATTGCATGACAAGGGAATAATTCCACTACTTAATATAGGGGTTGGGATTACCATTGTATAAACTTCTAATCTCAATGAACAATAATCAATTCATCACAAATTGCAGTAGGGTAAACACCCCAGTTTTTGGCCATGCTGATATGACTCCCATAGGAAGTAGACACCCTGTGTGCACACCGGGAAACACTAGTAATAGGTCCTTGTATGGGAAGATGTTGATAGAATGCTTGAAAATGGCCAAATTAACTAATTATGCTGGATTTAAGCCTCACTGGCCAACAACTGGAGACCAGCCAGAAACCAGGATGCTTACCCTAATTCCTACATTTTGAGTATTATCAATTGAGTATTATCAAAAAAAGTTGCCAGCACAAGCAAAGTAGTGAACCTTGGGTTACAGCCAAAATCTGAGGTGACATATCCATTAGGCTGTCAATCCTGTGCAAATCAGTTTACAGTATTATAATGCCTAGGAGTCAGAATATGCACTTTTAATAACTGGAGAATACCAGTTCATTTGTTTAACTTATTGGTACAAGTTTTTAACTCAAAATAATCCTGAAAAAAGTGACATAAAGCTAGCCAACTTGAGATCAAATATGCACCCAATGCAGTGAATGATAATTGAAATGATACCAACAGGCAATGGGACAGCAGCTCCATTCAGCTGAACCTTGAGATTTAGTGGGTAGGCATCTGGCTGGACTCCTCCTTCTCGCAGGCACAGTCTCAACTGGAGCTGAAATTTACAAATGGGGCCAAACATAATAGGAAAGATGGTATCATAAGCAAATTCACCATATGAAACTCAGAATATACCAAACCTGGAAAGGATACATCTGATTTGGTTCCTGTGTGATGTCCCTGTTCTCAGTGATCTTGTTCACCCTGGAACAACTCAACAGGAAGGAACATCTGATGCTTTGGTTACGATCTGGTCCTGTTGGACCTGAACAAGAAACCATCAGATGCAAACAATTTCACACCCAATCCAAGAAAACAATCCAGGGAATGGTAATATAAAACAAAAGTATGCTCACAAAGGAATGTTGGCTTCATAAGAGGATCACCAATGACTTCATAAAAGGGAAGGGGCTTGAGCTTCATATTTGGAAGTGCAGCATTAGAAGAATTTTGAGCGGTGACAATGGGACCACCACCAGGTAGCAGTGGACGGTTGGGATCCATGTAAGGGTTTCTGTCTGGCAGGCGTCCCAATGCATTTATCATGGAATTTCCAGCTATCATTGACTGAAGGTATGGATTTTGGCCCTGCAAGTATTATTGTAAATGAAACCTCTACATTTTTGTTGATCATGGGGAAAGGATGATGACAAGATTTTAACAATGTAATCTGAAGTTAGGAGGCTGATAGGGAATACAGTAGATAGACAAAGATGCAAAACTGTAACTTTACAGATAGATGAGTTGAACAAATTCAAAGGGATTGGAAGGAAAGCTATTGGAAGCAAAGGTAAAACCCCAAGTACATGTTAGTTTGGGTTTAAAAGGGAAATTGGGGCAAATGCAGACAGCAAAGATAAGTATGGTATTAAGGGAGTAATTGATAGATTTGTTGTGTCCATAGGACTTAATTCAGATGCTCTGGGATGCTGTTATGAATTTCACATCCAAAATGGAGGCCCTTTGTCAAAAGCAATAATGGCCATTTTGAACTATCTTTGAAGTGACACTCTCTACAACTCTTGTCCTAAACCATGTGACTTTGCTATCATCTCCTAAATGCATCCCCTGATGTAACAGTTCTGTGTAGTCAAGCATTTCTTGCCATAGTCCCAAAGAGACCTCTTCAATGGTGTTCAAGACCACTTGGCATATTGTCCCATAGTCAAGCTATTCAATGGCAATACTACTCCATAACAGATGTCACCACATAATCCCAACAGTACTTGTACTGCTCATTTCATTTATTTCAAAATTGATTTTTTTTTAAATAGAAAAATTGGACATTAAAAAAATTTATGTGTTTAGAAAACAACCCACACATCCATTTATATTAATGGGTCTACATCACCAAAATATGTAATTATACCTGTAAGGCTCGCTGGGCCTCTGTGGATGGCTGATAGCAAGTATAGGTTCTCTGAGGAGGTGTAATATTTGGTCCACTCAGACCTCCAGGAGCAGGAGGAGTTACCAAATTGCTTGTTCTGTTCCGAGACCAAAAAAAATCTAATTAACATAAGACAATACAAAAAGGTCCCATGCAACTTCTGCCATCCTCAAGCAGTCAAATATTTAACACTAGAAGATAATGATCAGAAGTAGCTCACCGGACAATCCTGTACAATTCCCTAATCTTCATCTTGAGGTGCTCTGAATGACCTTTAGAGTCAAGGAGCTGAAGTGCTCTAGCAGTCAGCTCATTTTTCTTCCCTAACTTATTTATTCCAGCAAATGCCAGAAGCATTTGGAGTTCAGAAACTCGAAATGCATTGACCATTGCCTAGAAAATGGTGAAGAAAAAAGCATATTTAGATTATACTAGCAAAACAATCACTTTCATGCTCTGCTCATAGGCCTAAATGTTACATGGTGTTCTCTAGTCCTGTTAAAGTGTTTCTCCTCTTAGGTAAAATTAAAAAGAAAAAATGGCTTAAGTGGGATTTAAATATGCAACTTGGAGAGTATGAAGACATGGTACTTCTCAAAGCACTATAACATGCCTGGGAAGCATGGCAATGAGACGGAACCTCCATCAAATGCTTAATGCGACTCAGCACAAGACAGCATGTAAATTCAGGAGTTTGTTCTCCTTCCATAAGTCTCAGATTACATATTTCCAAAATTAGGCAATCCAAAATAACCACAGTCAATATAGGTACCGTAATGTCAAAAACATAAAAATCGGAAAAATTTCCCATTTAAGTGAAAACTACGGCCCACAGCCTGCCTGCAGTTGTCAGTCATAATTATTGTTAATGAAAATTAATTAAGGTCTTAGCTATCAAATGGACAACCAGACACTCTCGCTGAGAGAATAAGGAGATGTCTGTCACCAAAAGAGCTTATGCTGGTTATTTTTCTCAACTGAAACTGCACTCTTGAAAAGAATTTGAACGCTTTACCCAAAAGGAAAAATTGCTTACCGCCAGATCTTGTTTTTCTTTGCTTGCTTGCGCCATGTTGAAAATAAATTATCTGAAACATGGCGCCCTTCTTCCCATCACGTGCCGCATGGACCCACGTTGCTCGTTTCGTCTTATAGGCTAAGCTACGATGCGACTGGATGCCAGGCGCAAGAGGCTTAAGCTGCGATTCCACTTCACTCAGTTTAATTGTAGTTAAGTTCTAGCCCTCTTTCAGTTCATCACCTGTCAACGGAATCTAAGACCTTACACGTGAACTGAAGGTAATTGCTGTATTAAACCAGCTTTTTGGGTCCGGGGGTAAACTGAAATTGAACTGGAGTTTGAGCTAAAATACAGGCCATTTGCATCCAACCTTGATCGTTCTTGATAAACTGAAACTGACTTGTAAAATCAATCTCGTCGTTAACTGCCTGAGCGTTTGCTTCCATGCTTTTCCTGAAAATCCCAAGGCCACAGCTAGCTTATCACCAGTTTAGCCTCAGTTCCAGTTAGCTACATGTAAATTAAGCCCAAAAAGTTTATATGATTTGTCCAGTTTGGCTAGTTTGTTCTCAGTTACAGTTAATTGGAGATCAGCTGAATATAAACAAAGACATGAAATGGTCTTGGTAAATGAAAGAGTATCTTGCTGGAAATCTGCCAGTCCAGAGTCCTGCACAAGTCTGTCCTCCTCAGACTGGATTTGCCAGTTGTCCCAGTTTAGTCAGCACCATTCAGGATTTTTTAAATACCTCCTATGGATGAGACTTTTCTACTTCTCTGGCAAAAGGGCCTAAATTTTTGTTAACTTGAGTCAAGAGAGGTGCAATTAACATGCCAACAACTGTTTTGTGATATAATCTATGTCTCAAAAAGAGGGGGAGGTCAGTTTGCTTTTGGGAATATCTCTATCTATGTAATGCAAGCCTCTTGTTTTCATGCATTTGATATCTCAGATAAATATTTTTGCAAATTTAACAGTTTCACAAAGTTTTTCTAATACATCAACTTTTTGAAGTGGAATCAAGGCAAAAATAGCATGGGACTAAGTGTAGAGGACCAGCACCAGATCAAATAAGTTGGCACCCTTCAATTAATGCAGAGTTCTCATAATAATTCATGATTACTTAAATTCATCATCACAACTACTTGTCATCTTCACCCAGCCAAACTTAAGCCCACCAAAGTGATATACATGGAGAGGAGTAGTAGCATATTGCTTGTTCATGGTGATTTTCAAATCCTGTTATGAAAAGTTATTGCATTGGAAGTGCTGTGTGAAGTTTCTTTTTTAACTGGACATAAATTTTCCTCATTCATCTGCAGTGTCATATGTCATCTCATGTTGCTCGCAATATTGAATGGAAATATCAGTGTAGTGGAAAATTTGAACGCCAACTTAATTCATCATAAAATCCTAATATTTGGCTGTTATAAAAGTTTTTAAACTATTAGATCATGCAATTTGGACTAAAATCCTCAATATATAGACCAAATGCCTAAACAGAAAAGAAAAATTCCACAGCAATATGATTTTGTGATTCTTTGTGCCTCCCAAAATTAAAGCTATATTCTAAGAAATAACCTAACCCCCTTATTTTCTTTTTATACACCCTGCTTTTACTTCTATGACTGTTGCACTAAGGATGCTGCTACCCCCATCCTTCTTGCTCCTATTCTTATCACCAGTTCTGATTCTTTGGGTAAGATTATAAAAATTCATGCAAAATTATCTGGAAACCCTTCTGAGAATCCATATTGTTCTTTCTCATCATTGATGACATAGATGTGGGCATTTGTTTGGCGGTGATAGCAGATAAGAGCATGATGTGCATCTACCTTAGACCTTATTAGCCTCCATCAGTAGTTCAAGTAATAGATACCCAAATTTAACTCAGGCAAATGCCAGATACTTAAGAGAAACAAACTGTCTTGGACAGCTCTGCAGAAAAAGGAAATCTTAAAGTTACTAGAAAAAGAACCATTTTATTCATTTGAAGGCACTTCCAAGTCCAAGGAAAAGTTTGAAAGAGAACACCATCATGTTGAAACACTGTCCAGCAATGTAATTATCACATCACATAGAAACATGAAGTCTCAATGATGTAAAAATAAATACTGACACACTTTGAAAATTCAAGAACGATCACCCAAGAGTCAACGTAGCCAAGAAGACAGGCTGGATATTTCTTGTAAAGAGTTACCATATGCCGCCTCATTTTTGTGACTAAAAATGCATAAGCATCAGCTTCTGATATTATCTCTTGAAGACACCCAATGTATTTCATTGAGCATAGTACAGGGTTGAGTGCCAGGTTCCTCCAGATGTTAACATCTTTATCACTCTCCAGAGGTTGGCTTCTCGATTATCACTTTGCTATGGTGATCAAAAGGGTGCATACTGCTCTCTTTCACCTCACATTCACCCAGCGAAAGACATCCTTCCCATCTTTGAAGAAGATTTCTTCATCTGACTCAGATGATGGGTCATGATACACCATTTCCTGAGCATCCTCTGAAATAAATATATCTCATGTCAGTCCCTGTTGTCTATGTTCCAGATGAGTCCCTGAAAAATATAAATAATGGCTTCAATTACCAATAGCAGGTATCTTACCCTGCTCTTGAGACTCACAAAGAATGTCACAAGGCCCCAAGGTCAGTCTATTTCTTATTATCAGGCATAAGCTGTCAAATGATCATTATATTCAATCCATGGTCTTGGGCATTGTATATTTCCAATATTTCATTTTTCCAATTTGTCTCACACAGTGGCAAGAGTGAGCCAGACTACCAGAGAATTCACAGAGAATGACAACATCTCTCCAATGGTTGTGAATCGCAATCCAAGAAATTTAGAGAGATTGAGAATAGCACAAAAGCCCCGTGGTTGGCAACTAGAAGCAGACCACAAGGAATTTTGGCACCGGTCAGAAACATGTCTTCCATGAAGTGAGTCATGCTAGCTATTATCAGGACTCAAGGCTATGTTTATTTTTCAGCTTGGTATTGCAAACTTCAGCAAGGCATTTAACAGCTAAGTTGGAGCACAACAGTGGGAAGACAGTCATCTTTGCATCCACTCAGGAATGGTGCATCAGGAAATTCCTATACACAACAAATGATGTCAATGCCTGGCACAATCTTGGTCGGGTCTTTGTGCATCGATGCCTCCAGGCAGGATTCCATGAATTTCACTGCGATGTTTCAGATGAGGAGAGGAAACGCTCACAAAAGGTACGATTCCTATATCTTGCACTATATAAGCATGCAGCCAAATAAAGAATTTCCTTTCATTAAAATGCAGGCAGTCTTAAAAAAAATGAGTATTTAATGTGCCTACTGATGCTTCCACAGGTTGACAGTTTTCTGAAAGCTTTAGAGGAAGGAGGAGTTTCACTGCAGGAACCTCCACGCTACTTCCCAGCTCAAATGTGGGATGAGCTGACAGAAGAAAAGCCTTGGGAAATTCATGAACATGATGTCAATGACAAGAAACTTGGTCCAGCAGTCCCTGAATTGAAAAGCCTATGATATTCGATGCAGCCTGCTACTGGTTTGAAACACTAGTGTTAAAATGATCTGGAAGAACCAAGATGATAAAACTCACTCATGAAATTCTGCGACCGAAGAAATCGTTCATTCTCGCTATCACTGTCCTCATCTTCAAAAAGAGTCTTGCTGTTGAGTTGATTGAAGCCATACTCCCGGCGGCGCTTACGGCATTCCTTTCTTCCAACGTAGCACAGAATACATCCGAATAACACTCCTATCAACAGTGCCCCTGTTGGCAAGCAATCTTCAGTTGACCAAGGTTCCCTTTGGTGTAAAACTTAGTTTTTCTTTGGTATCAATACTATAAAGACTAAAATAGGGAATGAGATGAGGGCATCTTCATGTATGGAATTAACAGTTTACAGAGAGATACCATAAGTGGATGGTTACATGAATGAATAAATTGTTTATTCTAGTATCAGTCTGGTGATTAGTGACCAAGACCTAATTAATGATGACCTAATAAACACTTTCAGATAAGTGTGACCTACGCTCCATCATATCACAATCACTAAAATGGGGGATGCCACTTTCATATTTGCAAGTATGGATATTGTACATAATCTGCTAATCCTTGAAATGAATTTACATTTTTACAATAGAAAAACAAAAAGGAAGTTTCTCCTACTGTTCCAAATCAGCACTAAGTTTAACCAAGTGAGTGTTCAGGAAAATGCAGAACACTCTCCTTGAGCACTGCTATTCCCAATCATTAGCTTAATGCATCCATGACCAAATTTGGAGGACCCATGTCATCACTTTGTAATTTCATGGCATGCACAGTCCAAACCTAAGCCTGAGTTTGCCAACTGGACAGCCTTAGCATGATGGCCACCAAATGAATCAGCAACATATGCCAATAAACCTTGAAGGCTTGCTCCAAATGCCATACAGAGGCTGGAAAAACTGCCTGTAAACTTTTTCTTGGCCATTTCAATTGAAACAAGAATCCACTCCATTTGACAAAAAATATCCTACGTCCCAATATTTCTCCATAAGCCTGTGAGTTAAAATCCTAAGTCTTGATCCAATTTAGATTTAATTAGATCCATGTTAAAATTATTCCGCCATGAGTAGGTAGGCCTTAATCTTTGGAGAGTCATTCCTCACTTCAGTGAAAATTACTTCAATTTTTTACATACCACATCTAGTCATACTTCTTTCTTCTGCTACAATTGAATGTGGTTTCTCGCTTGAAATGGCAATTAACATGATACAAGAAAAAAATTTTGTGCTGTCTCTATGCTGGCTTAAGAATCTCCAGTGGAACCAACATAACAGGACTATTGACAATACCATGCATTGTCCTTTTATGTTTTCAGACACATTTCAGGATCAACATCAAGGAAAATGTACATTTTGCATCAATAACCAAGAACACGAAATAACAGAAGTTGGGTAGGTAAGATAAATTCCAACTCTTCTAAAAAATTTGCCCTCCCCCTGTCAACATAAGAAGAAATTCAAACAGCCTTTTCCAGCCAAATTGCATGAATGTCCAGTCTCAAGACATGAAAGGACAGTGTACTTTTTCTTCTCAAATGGCAATAGATAACAAACAAAAAAAAAAGAATTTCAAGACAAAGGTGAGGGGGCAGATTTTAAGTTTTAAGGGGTTCAAATATGCACCATCAGAGAAGTGGGGTGGTGGACAAAAACCACCTCTTGCATTGCTCTCCTACTTGCATTATGAGACTGGAGAAACTAGGTTTATAAGAAATAGTAAGTTCATGGAAAGCTAGCTAGCTATGCTTACTATAATGCACTTTTGCCATGGCTCAATGGTTAAGGGCTTGGGCTACCATGTGGAAGGCTTACTGTAGGTTCAAATCCACCTGATGTCATGCAGTGTTCTCATGGGTAAACAGTTTAGTCTGCTGCGTTCATGTATTACTTGCTTCCCTTGGGCTACGGAACAACACAACTTTGTACTTCATGGCATGAGATGGAGCCTCAATGCCACCTGCCACATTGACCCAGGCAGCAAAAACTGCAATGACAGATGGTCATGGAGCCTAAGGAGTGTAAACACTGCCATCACTTTTCACAGTCCCATGTAAATGGAATGCATACCAGTCCACATTCAAAAAAGCATATTTCTCTCATAATCCTCTTCTTCCCTGATCTCATCTTGCAAACAAGATGGGAATACAGGAAATTGAATGAAGCAGGAATTGTTTATCTGCCAAAGAGCAAACTCGGCTGACTGTGATCTCAGACCCTTCAGTTGGTACCAGTATCGATTGTGAAAAAAGAGTTAGACTGGATCATGTTAGAACAAGAAAAATTTTGCTTCTGCTTGGAGATATTGGCAATGTGGCCTTGAAATAGAAAGGGAAGCCAGTAACCACTATTTTCAAAGAGAGATTAAGTTTGGGATGAGAAACAGGCAAAACTTATAGGATTATGTATTCCCCCTACATCTTTCCCTTTTTTTTTGGACATTGGCAGTGGCAGCAAGGAGAATTTCTGATGGCCAAAATGTACCAGTGATAGTACAACAGTAGCTGATGACAGATAGTTAGTGCATCAGTACAAACATAGTAAGAACATGCTGTTAGTATTTCTGTGTCCCATCAAAGTATGGCATCAGAACTAACTTCATAGGCTGTATGAGAAATTGCTTGGGGTGTGATGCCTAAAGTAAGACAGCACAGGGGTAATACAACAACTCATAAAGAGACTGCATTCAAAAATATAATGTGGGAAGTGGATGCCACCTCAAATCTCTGAAGCAGTCCAAGAATTACATCATTCACTGATGGAATCTCATCAGCACTTTGTCCAATAAATCACTTCAGCAACTTCCCATCAACTTATGTGAGAAAACTGGGATCTCTCCTACATCCTGAATAAAGGCAGAATTTCATTCAGCTCTTTTCACATCTTATTTGTAGGCCTGAAAAATAAAGATGAATTGATGTCCTTGCTTCCAGAAAAGTTGTCTTGAGATTGATCTGTGTTCAAGTAGATGGAAGCCTTGCATGCAACAGGCAATGTAAATATCATAGCCCAAATAAGGAAGGATAACTATGGGTCACCATGCCCACATGAAGGTACCAAATCCCAGGGTTGGAAATCAGATGAGAAAGAAAATTCAGGAAGGAAAATAACATAAAGCAACAGAAGGTTTGATCCCTTGGAGTGTGGATGGCCCAAATAAATTGCTAGCAAATTATGAAATCAAATACCAATACCAGCATGCAATAATTTCTCTGGAGAAACATTGACACCAAAGCAAGATCAGAATCAATCAATCCTTTATTCTTTCAAATAATCAAGATTTCTATGGATGGACTTGGGATGAAACCTTCTGCTGCCATATAACTACCAATGACTGATTATAGCACTAGACCTAGACAAGTGCTGACGTAGCATCTGAACAATGCCACAGGATATTAGCCAGTCCAAAAGCCTATAAAAAATACTCTGACTTAATAGTTTGTACTAATCTCTTGAATGCACAACTACATTTCAGGTGAGCATCTACAGTATGCAAGCAGAGAATGGAAGGCACGCCCGATCTATTCAGGAGTACCTGTGAGTAATGTGAAAGCCATGCGTGACATTCCTCCCACAGTTTGGTCCCGTTTGAGATGGACATGAAGACTTGTTTGGTTTCTCTCTGCATCTGGAGGTAGCAGCACCATCTGACGGGAAGGATAGTATCCCGAAGCACTAACGTTGAGATGGTATTGACCCGGAGGTAATAAAAGGAAGAACTGGCCCATTTGATAAGATTTTGTCATCTTCCCTCCTTCAAGCTCAATCTTGGCTCCAGGGATTGGTTGTCCCTGTTCATCAGTCACAAACCCTAAGGAAAGAAAATTTGAGTCAAGTATGAAGTGGGTCAGGTTATGAGACTTCTTGAATAATGGTTAAGGTATTACTTTATCCTGCTGGCATGTAGAAGAACATTAAAAATTGTCTAAACTTCAGGAATGTCAGCATGAAAATTATGTTGCAGCTAGATCCACAAAGCTGTCATCAAATATCAAATATAATGGAACATCAGCTGAATTTAAAAAACTGGTTGAATCTGAATAGAACCAGATGTCTGTCAAACTGCTAATAGAGCAGTGCCTAAAACATACAGTCCCTGCATGATCTGATTTAGAGTTTCAAGTTTTCTGCAAAAGGGCTTGGACCAGGAAAGAAATATTAACTCTACACTGCATGGTGTGATATGGTATGCTCTGCTTTGCATTGAAAAGTAATGCAATACAATGGAAAAACCAAAATGAAAGGATAATTTTTTCATTATTTTTCTCATCAGCCACATGAACAAATATTGTCAAAAATGTTTTTGGTACTATTATAAAAATCATGCTTTGTAGGGATAAGTTCTGATTCAAACAGCAACCAAATTCTGAGAAATCAGCCCTTGTCAAGGAAGGAAATAGAGAAAAGAGCCATGAAGACAAACCTCTAATGGTGGAGAGAGCTCTATGAAGCATAGCCAAGATACCATCACGATGCTGCAGCCATATACCACCTAGCTGATCTTTTAGCGGGGCAACACAGCATCCTAGCTCCACACGCAGCTCTATCACATCTTCTTCATAATTAAATCCCTTTGAAGATAAAATGAAGAACACAGCCCTGGTTTGATTAATTCAGTTCATCTTATTGCCAAAATCCTTGGAGCCATTAATCACCTGCATGCTGTGTGCAGAAAGTTTCTCTTCCAACAAGGATGGTGAGTGAGAATCTCCACAGTTTACCCTCACTTGAACAGGACCCTCCAGATTCCAATTGGAATTGTAGATTTTGGCCAGTTCAGTTGGGACAGACTCATTTTCAGGGATTTGAACTCCTCGCAACCCCCCAGCAAAATATGACAAGGACATCACAAAGGGATTCTTCTTCATCCAATCTGCAAAGGCTTTGGTCTCCACAGCTCCCTTTCCATCAACTGAAAGCATTAAGAGATAGGACCCTAGAGAATAATGACAGTCAGGATCATAATTAAAAAAAAGGCCTTAAATACCTTTCTAGCCAAAGTTCAGAAATTCAGCAATGCTCTTCCTTTTTCTTAGACATTTTCATATTTCTGTACCTTGTCTTCTTCTCAAGCTATTCTCTTTTTTGAACAGGCCTACCCAAAAAGTATCCAGAATATTGAAGGTATTAGTATCACCTGAGAAGGATGAATCCAGATCAATGCCTTGAGCATTGTCTGAGCCAATTGAAGAGTTGCATAGACCATAATGATCAAGGGCTCTATAAGCTCCATCTGGATTTAGAGATGGGACCACAAAGATGCGTAATCCCTCTAACAGAGGATGGACACGGGTGTCCTCTTGATGCAACAATAGCCAATCAATCAAGGATATCATCAGCTCTTGACCTGTGGAAATATAATTTCAGTTACAATTGAGCAAATATCAAGAGATGAAAGTAATCCTGAAGAAACTATTGCAGTTAAATAGCCAACCAATAAGCTCATTGCCATGCAGTGCAGCAACTAATTTAACACTGGGCTTTGCAGGGGTCAGCTTTTCAACATCTTCTGTAAGCTCCAGGGCCCAGATTGGCCGTTTCTCCTCTGATGATCCAATCCTACAAGAGTTTCCAATGTTGCTTCATCTGTTCCTGAAAGTTAGAGGCTGGCTACCATCAGAGGTCTTTGCTAAATACTCACAGGTGCATTTTGGTGTATTTGGGATTTTCCTTATGAACCTTCCGGAGGAAGTCTTCCAGAGCTTTGTCAGAATGATAGGGTGTGATTGGCAATTGCATCCCTATGAGTTCAAAGTCATATCTTGCCACTTTCCCAGCTTCTACTACCACCACAGTTCTGTCCTCGTGATGATCATCTGCTGAAGCCTGCACAAGAAGATACAAATTTAGCCTAGATACTCACGGTCATTCACTGAGTAAACACATATGCAAATGCCAACAATAATCTGACAAAAAGGCTAAAACGTAATTTCAAAATTTCTAAGGAAGCAAGAATATGCAATATTTTCAAAATGCTGAACATGAATTGAGGAATTTTCAACCTTACATCATGAAGCTTGGAGTCTCATTTCTCAAGTGGAAAGACCCATTTTTGGATACTACTAAAGAGTGCTTGGGCTAGAAAATCTAAAACAAAAAGCATACAGCTAAGTTTCATACCATCAGTTGATATTTGCCTGGAGGTAGGGCCACATGGTACCAACCATCCTTTGGATCTACTTGCACAGTGTAATTGTAATCAAGGATCACCAAACTGGCATTCTTCAAAACTTCACTTGCTTTTCCACGGGACATGACTTTCCCCCTCACACCTAAAAGGAATCAGCTAGCCCTGATTTACTTTTTCCTTTTTTTTAAATGAAAAATCAACAAAAAAAAAAAAACAGAATGACCAGACCTGAGGTGGAAGCATTAAGGAAAGCCTTAAGCACTGGAAGAGACTCCATCCAGAGCTCAGGAAGGGCATCAGCATGAGGATAATCACAGCAAGATATCTGAGCTGCAAGCTGTGAGGAAGGAAAATCTTAATTCCCCACTAAGTGCCTCATTACATAAGATATTATAAGGAATATAGAAAAGCTCACAGAAACAGTAGGCCCATGTTGATGGACAAATTCAATCAATGAATTCTCGTAACCATGAAGATGAGATGAGGGAACGATCCCTGAAGGCAAATTTTCTGGACATGGATCTTCACTCAGTTTCTTTCCAGCATGCAGCATGGCCTCTGCATAGGGATTCAACCATCCACTCAATGCTCCTGCATCTGGAAGTCTATAAAGCAAACCACATTGCATGAATATTTCAACTATTTTTTTCTCATAATGTAGATGAGAAGAGAGTTTTTGGAATATGATCATGGGCTCAGCTCACCGAATACGTCGTCCATGAGCCTCAACACTGAGCAATGTCTGTATGTCTAAGCTTTGGAGCATGAGGATGGCATCTGAAGCCAAGTTATTCTCCTGCAAAGATGCTTTTGTGAAATTGCTTCCTAGATCGCCTTGAGGGTTGCTAGTGCATTCACCTGAATAGGAAACACATATCCAAACTTATACCTATCCAATGCATCCATTTAAGTTGAATGGATAAAACTTATTTATCTCACCAAGCTCAGCCTTTGCAAAGCCTGATATGTCAAAGTAGGGGAAGATATAAATGATGAGGTTTTGGAGCAATTTCATGACTGCAGGATCATTCACCTCATATCCTTTCCCTAAATGCCTTGCCAATCGAATGAGAATTTCCCGTCCAATTGGCTGGCCACCGTATAATCCTCCTAGCAGAGCAATGCTATTTGCTGAGTGTTCATCTTCATTTGACTGGAAAAATCAAGTAAAGCCTTACATGATGGCACTTCATCACAAGAAAGAATTTATTAACCCAAACTCACTATTGATGAAATCCGAAGACCATGGATGTAGTTGCTCCATCCACCCCCACCAGAGAAGAAAACCATGACATTCTGATGCCTATCCTGGATTTGTGACATCAGATCGTTCAATTCATTTTCATCAAGGTAGCGCTCTCCTTGCATATTCTCCACCAATCCAAAGTCATTTTGGTGGGACCACTTGATCATGTGATTGGGGTTCAGGGTGAAATTCACTTGAACTGATCCTGATGATGGAACTCTGACCTGCTGTGTCTCTGGTTCATAACTGAGGTCAAATCTTAGTATCAGACAAGCAGTATAAATTTTATTTAAAAAAACAAGAGTGTCTGCAAGAACTCACCCAAGGGCAGAGACTGTGACATTGTAAATCCCTGGGATAAGAAGTCGCCAAAAGTCACCATCAGGAGCCACTCTGATGACATGGTCAATCCCAGCAACACTGACATTGCCACTTTTGATGAATTCTCCCGTCTCTTCATCTTTGACAAAACCATGGATCCCTGTGTGCACTTGTTCCATGTAGGTCAATAGTGCTTCTTTGTTGTCAAGCCAGTATGATAAGAGAGACTCATTGCTTGGGTGCTTTATGCAAGACAACTCCATGGTCAATTCAAATGCATTTGTATTAAGGTAATTCCAGTCTTGCATCCCACCATCCACATCATACCAATGGTTCCCATTTGTGATGCCATCCTTGAAGCATTCTCCTTTGGAACATGGACAACCTTCATGCATCTTTGTATGGGCCTAAGAATGTCAAGTAAAGGTGTATCCTCAATAGACACAAAAACCTTAATAAACACAAAAAATTGGAATATACTACAGGCATAACTGATTTGGTGCCAAGAAAGCAGGCCTACCATGGAATAACTCTTGGCCAAGTGAATAAAAACCGCATCATCAGGTGACTTTGAATAATTGTCTTGACATTGTCCTGCACAGTTGTCAAATGGATAGTTGGCAACAATTGTTCCACCATGCATGTTGGCTGAGAGAACAAATGGAATAGCTTGACTCCATTTCATTACTGCTGCAGTCTCTGGTTCCTGAACCTGTACCAAAAGGACAATGAAGGTGAATTCCTTCTCATCAAAGTCATCATTAGAAAAAAGATGGGATGCTTTTTGCAGTTGAATTCAAAAGATTCATAAATAGATACTCACCTGCTGACTCCCAGGTTTGTCTAGCCGGTCAGGGAAGTTTCTATTCAGATCCACTCCATGAGCATTCGAACGTGCATCATTTCCCATCTCTGTGATTGAATAAAAACAATTGCAAAATAACATCTTACTGAAATGCCTTTCACTAAACAGAAGGAGATATGATCAGAGAAGAGCATACGAGGATGCAAGGCCTTCTCGTGGCCATCAGGATTCATGGTAGGCATGATGTGAATGCGTGTGGAGTTAACAAGTTTTGTGATCCGATCATTTCGTCCATAGCCTTCAACTAGGAGCTGAATGAGAGTAAGAAGGATTTCATATCCCACTGTCTCATCCCCATGCATGTTCCCTATGTACTTGAATTCTGGCTCTCCTGGAAAGAAGAATCTTGAGAAAATCAGAAAACATGCAGCAATGATTAGGTGATACTGGAGAAAGGTGAATTCACTCAGACTAAGCAAATACCAAGAGGAATGACAGCAGAAAAGTGGAGAGAGGAGTAAATGAGATAGGGTTCACAATGGATTTACTGCTGCTAAATTATACATAAAAATTCCTCTACCTAATATTCCTACCAAACACAGCCTCCCCATATCCTGTTTCATTTCATAGCATCCATTTTAAAAGAAAACCAAACCAAATCAATCAAAGAGTCTTACTTAATTGATGAAAAACAATCAATTTCAGGACTTTTTTGAATTAAAAACTTCTTCGAGTATAAAAAAAAACGTCCATCAAAATAGCTGAGTCCAGTTGAGTGAAGGAATACACCCTGAATGGCAGAAACCATACCTAGTTCGTGCTGCCCAGGATTATCAGAGATCTCCATGACCCACAGGTTGCGACCCTCTACGCTCTTCCCAATGGAGTATAAGCGCACTAAATCCCTTCTGGTTTCAGCATAATGATACAGAAGAAGCTGAAGCTGAGAAAAGTTCCTGTGATGGAAAACTGGCTCACTCTGGAATCCCTCACTGGGCCAGTCATAAAGTTTCCTTGATTCATTCTCAGGAGTGACTGGAGGAACCTTTGGTTTCAGATGACCTAGGACAGCACAAACATATTCAATCTCATTTTTAAGTCAAGTATAGTTCTTTGAAAAGAGATTCTGGTCTTTTATGCTGAATTTCCTTACAAAATGGTCAAGTTGTCAAAGAGCTCTTGGTTCTTTATAACAAACACCCATAAGTTTTTTGCAACCATAAAAAAATTTTTGAATGACTGATGACTGAGCTGAATAGTTTTGTGATAGTTCAGTGAAATTTGGGCAACAGCAATGAAAGGGAAACCAGAATGACACCCAATGTGCCAAAGACCAAAACATTTTGGATATGAAATTTTCAACATTCTAATGGCATTATGCAATAGAAAAATGACACTCCCATATATAGGGTAGTTTTTAAAAAATGCTCTACCATTTTCTATGGGAGAAAAACAGTTTCATAAATTCAGCAAAAAAATTAATTGGGTATGTGATCGATATTTGATGGTTAAAAGGTGTTGAAATGCTTGTCAGCTTTTTTTCAGCACCCTTGTCTAAATTGTGTAATGCCCATTTAGAGATGAATTTAAGGTGCTTGGAGGTGGAGCATTCCACCTCAAGTGAGGTAATGACCTGTGCTCGAACATCTCAGAATGCAAGGAACTTTTCAACTTAAATTTTTTAAGGGACAGTTGGATCCAGCTGATACATGACGAAGAAGTTTATGAGTCTAAGCGGTTTTTTCACTTCTGCAAGATGGTGCTGTATCCCAAGAGAGGCTGCTGTTGTCAACTAGGTGACTGACAGTGATTACAAAAAACGCTCCTCCATTTTCGAAGGAGAGAAATAATGATTTGTGTATTTGAAGAAAAAATATAAGATTGATACACTTTTGTCTTGGATGTATAAGAGGTGCTAAGAAGCTTGTCTGAGTTTTTCTCGGAACAATTCTTTGAACTTTGCATAGAGTATATGAGCATGAATTATTCGTTATCCCCTTTGAGAATGGTGGAGCTTTGTTGTATTCACCCTCGGTCACCCAGTCAAAAACAGCAGCCTCTATTGGGATAAAGTGCCATCTTGCGGAAGTGAAAAAAAAAAAAACCTCTTAGACTCGTGAACCTCTCTGTCATGTATCAGCTGGATCCAACTGTCCCTTAAAAATTTTAATTGAAAAGTTCCTTGCCATCTGAGACGGTCAAGCATAGGTCTTTACCTCACTAGGGGTAGAATGCTCCACCTCCAAGCACCTTTAATTCACCTCTAAATGAGCATTACACAATTAAAGGCAGGGGTACTGAAAAAATCTGACAAGCATTCCAACACATTGTAACTGTCAAATATTGATCATGTATCCAACTTAATTTTTTTTGCTGAATTTTTTAAACTGTGTTTCTCCCATAGAAAACGGTAAGCATTTTTTTTAACCACTCTATATATACCTCTGCAATGATCACATAACACCAAATATAAAGGGGCCCAAATAAATGGGCACACATTTCAATGTGCATTTTAGGCATGATACTTTCAATGATTTTTTTTTTCCAGTTACAAGTATTGAGATAAAAAAAAAGATTCAGCTACAACATGCTTTTCACAAAATTGAAATATCTTAAATGGTGACTTATAAAAACATCACACCCAAAATGCACATTGAAAAGTGTGCCTTTCTTACGGCAACCCTGTACAAATCAAAACAGTGCAAGTTCAAGCATGGAAGAAGGAAGCCAGGGACTCACAGAAAAGACAAATTCCCAGGTGAAAGTATATTCAGGGTAGATCCCATGTAGCCAAATGGACTCTCATGCTGTGCAAATACCTTTCTCCACACTATTTTCTATTTTTTTTTTATTCACTGTTATATTCAACACTTTTGCCCAACTCATTCAATCAATCTACAGTACAGGTTTCTACACTTATTACTGGAGGACACTATGATGGGATACGATTTTTATTCTGAATGACTGTAAACATCAGATGGCAAGAGAAAGGCATATATAAATATTGAAGTATTAAATACAGATGCCAATATGCAACATGCATAACCAAGCCATTCATGCAGAAAAAAGGAGGGAAAATTACACCCCTGAGCCATGAAAAACAAGTAACCAAAACAGAAGTAAGAAGTGGAAGCACACATGGCCATTACAAGTACCTGAACCATGGCAGTACGTTGCATTGTAGCACTTCTGCAGAGCCCAATCATGCCAAGCAGGCTCATTTCCTGTCACAACGATCTGCACAGCTTCCCCTACCTCATATCTACATGACGTGACAATGACATGCTTAAAATAGAATACAACATTTTTTTAAAAAACAATATAAGAGATGCAAACAGTGCTCATGCTCCATCCCAAATACCTGATGGTCATTATTGGTACTACTTGATAGTAACAAATATGACCATCATTACTGACAGGTCTACTTTATTGCCTTTTTCTGTCTTCTGTCTATTTTATGTGCCAGGTCTGGTTATTTCAAGTCCATGAACTCAAGCAGGAATTTCATTGAAAGGCTGAAAGGAAAAGTGGTCTCTCTTCAAAAAAAAGTCCAATAAAAGTATTGTTGATATAGTGAGCATAGACCCTTTTTTCCTTGCAATGAAGATGGTTGGTTTTAGGATTTATGCAAAAGAAAACCTGATTGAATTATACACAACAATTTTCTTTGCTTGGAAGTAGATGGTCCAAGAAATAATCACTCTTCCCATGAAGAGCTTGAGAAAAGAATTATTTGCAGATGGAACACTTTTCTTATAGCAAAATTTGAAATGGAATTTTTACTGGACCTAGAGTAATAGGAACAGCTATGAAGGATTTACATATCATTTGCTTAACTCGCACTTATTTTTATTCAAAATAAACTGCATGTAAATATGGAAGGACACTGCAAGTTCCAAAAAGTTAGATGCTAAATACTGAATACCAGAATGCTGGTAAAAACTTCAAGAAAGTTCAAGAAAGGCAACTCACCCAGGGGCAAAAACGTGGACCTTGTATGAACCAGGGACAAGAATTCTCCAGTATTCACCTTGTTCTGTTGATGTCACATTGTGATTGATCCCATCAACTATAATTTCAGCTCCAGCTATTGGCTTCTGGGTATCACGGTCTCGAATGATGCCTACCCAGAATGGAAAAATCAAATCTGTTCAGTGAAGAAAGCCATCACTGTCTATTCAAACGAAGCTATAAATTTAATCCCATATGCGTACCTTTAACCCCAAGGTGAGTCTTCTCCATGTAAGCATACATAGATTCTCTATTCAAGTTCCATTCTTCCAAAAGCAAATCACTAGAGCTGAATTTACAGCACCCTAATTCAAGGGTAATTTCAAAGCAATTGGAGTAAATATAATTGAAGTCCTGCATCCCACCTAACACCAGAGAGAGAAGATGACACATTTGATAAATCAAACAACTCAAGAAATGAATATACTGATGAGGCCAGAGAAACATACCAACAACATCATACCAATGAGCACCATTTACAATGCCATCAGGGAAGATTGTTCCATCACAGCCTTCCCCTTTCTTCATTTGTGGGTGCTGAGAAGCATATGTCTTTGCCAGGTGGATCATCACATCATTATCTGGAGATAGACTATACCCTGGAGCTGTCTCACCATTCCTGGAATTAACAGTTCAATGTATTCCATATAGAGGTTTCTCAGAAAGTTGTAGAAAGATAGTCCTATTTGATGGCACAAAACATGAGCAACTATCCCTAACAAGCAGAGGTTTCTCTCCATGTGTCACCAGTATGACATGCATGAGGTGAGGGGAAAGCAAGGAAACACCAGGTAACATATCTACAAGAAATTAACCCCCATTCATTTCACACTAAGGGATAAAAATTTCAATAAGTGGAACCATAACACTTCCCCATAGGAAATTCTTGAACTTGCATCTCAAAAGTGATTGGTCTCACTTAAGACACCATGCAAACTGGTTATTTTATTATTGAATTTTCACTCCCTTCAGTAACAGAATACAGAGAAAGCTTACTTCAAGGGATCTTATCAGGAAATGGTAACATACCTTGAATCATCAAATGGATAGGAAGCAACCAAATCTCCTCCATGGAGATTGCCTGACAAAACAAAAGGGTTGCTGACAATCCAGGTCATCACTGCCAGAGTCTCTGGCTCCCGTCCCACAACCAATGTTTCCTCAGTGTAAGGCTTCCACTGACTTGGGAAGTTCCTATTCAGATCTACAAAGTTGGCATTTTCTCTCCCAGAACCACGATCACAGACTCCTTCCTAAAATTAGAAGGAAATTTCTCTCATGCATAAACCAAGGTATCATAGATGCATTTTCCTCAACCATACATGACTTAAGATCTCTAGTCTTGATTCATAACTAATTAACATTTTGGTTATAACTAGAGATGTAATTGAATGTTCCTGTCAATGCAGATGCTATCAACTTATTATAGGGTAAGGTCTATGCCACAATCCACTGATATCTCCTGAGAAGTTTAAATAACCCTTAGTCATCTTTTGAAGATGAATGAGAATATCTGAGAGGTCAAGAGTCAACCATGTGTGGTGAAGATTACAATCACTTTGAAACCTTGGAAATGGGTATAAAGGCATTTCCCTTAGTTCTGGACTTCTGAGACAAATGGCAGTGATAAAATTACCCCATCACACTTTCACTTTGCATACTTGTCTTAGTAATGACTATATCTGAAGGAAACTTAGCACCTTGCCTATCCTATGCCTATGAAGGTTAGAGAGTGAAATGGAGTTTTGCATGTTCTCTTTCTGCATCATTCTTAGGTGAGATCTATGGTCTTGGAAGGTGATAGAGAACTTGGATGTGGGGCATTAGATAGATGCCTTGCTATAACTAAATTTCAGTTAGTGCCTCATTTTTGCCCATGCCCAGCAGTACATGTTTTGCAGAGTGGGATTTCACTCAGCAAACCAAGTTATATTAGATTTGATACAGAAAAAGTAGTCCAAACGGTCAGGATTATGAGATTAGAAATTGGGGTTTTATCACTAAGCACAAAAAATAAAGTGAGCCATCACCAAGGATGTCGAACAGAAGGCTACCCTAAATCTAAGGCTTAGACCTATTGATTCAATCAGGGAGACAACAGATTCCCAATAGACAGTCTGTCCTTTGCACAAGGGTATTAAAAGTAGGGAAAATTGTAAACAGAATTAAGGTAATAAGCCTCAACAGCAACTATGCTATGTGCTTAAATATGAATTTTTGAGGCACTACTACTCCTGTTCATTACAATATAAAATTTTTGAACAGATGTGGAGAAAAAAATGGTTTCCCATCACCAAGCATCTTTGCCACTGCCATTTTCATAGAGCACTTCACTTGTTGCTTGTTAAGGCAAATGTTCATTAATGAATGTAGATTGATCTATGCTAACTAATGCCATTCAGGAATTCATCTTCACTCTTGTTTGGGGGGCAGAAGCCCTGATTTATTGTTATAAATGGTCCCAAGGGAGCAGGATCTCATAAGAGGCTGGCTTGGGGGGGGGACTAGAATTTTCTGAAAGAGACTTAACAAGGGATATGTGAGCCATAAAAATAGCATGGAAGGATGCATGGCTACAGGTCCAAGAGCCTGGTCACAGTTTTTAATTAATAAATAAAAAAGCAATACCCAGACCTGCACTTGGGCCCAATTATATCCATGGCACTGATGCACCAATTCCCTTCATATCTTTACCAACTACCCCTACTTGGAGATCAAGATTCAGCTTATGGCATGAACATCAATGCTGAATGTTGCAGGTTTATTATCCCTGGTTCCATACCCACTTTTTTCTCCCTATTTTCATTGACTTCAATTGGTTGCTCATCATATGAACATGGATTCTATGTGAACAGAACAACATAAAACCTAGGCCCAGGGTGGGGGGAGTTTGTCCTGAATACAAGAAAGGTTTGGGTTGGCTTGGAATAACTGAAATAACTGGGGATAAATGGAACTCGGACAGCCCCGGACCAATTCAATTCAGAACAGAACTCTTACTTGTGTTTAACTTAGGCTTCTTACACAGTTCCTCACACACTCACCCGAGATTTTTCAAACCCATCTGGGTTCATGCTTGGCATGATATAAATATCGGTATTATTTAGAAGCTTGGAGACCCTCTCATCCTTCCCGTACTTCGTGACGAGATCTTCAATGAGGAACAAGACCAACTGACGACCCAAGGCCTCATTCCCGTGCATATTCGCCACCCACTTGAACATGGGCTCGGCCAGATCCCTCTCCTTCACATTCCTGCTGAGCCTCATCACCCATAATTCCCTCTTTTGTACCGACTTCCCGACGGACTGCAGCTGGGCGATGTGTGGGAAATTCTCCTCCACTTTCTGGAGCCATTTGGTCATCTCATCGTAGTTGAGGTATTTTGACCGGTCCAAGGCCACCAACGTGGAGTTCGCATCATACTGGAAGGGCGTGGACGCGCCGTTGACTGCCACCGACGACCCACAAGGCAGAAAAACTGGGAAAATCAAAGTCCAAATCAAGAAGCCCATCTCCCTCATCGGACACTGAACACGGGCGACAGGGAGTGGCCATGTAAGGGGTTCTCCAATGCGCATGCGCACTTCTTATCTCTTTCTTATATGACTCGTGCGATGGGTCGACTGAATCTGAATTAGCTTGGATAATTACAAGATAAAGCGAGAATAGAATTGCCAAAGTAAGGCTTGTCGTGTCAGGTAGGGCGTATGACCTTATTTCTGTATATCGTATTAGCTAAGAAAACCGTGAAACCCAATCGAAGCGAAAAATGGAGAGGAAAAAGCTAACGCCATTATCACCTCTACTTGGTAATAATCCCTGTTGATGAAGATGCAGTCAGACTATGATACAGCTCATACGCATGGACAGTCATAAAAAAAGTGAATCCACCGCTTTCCACGATCATGATGACCAATAATCCTTACTTCGCAATGTCATGGAAAGACATTAATACTTGGTCATTTTTTGGAGAGAAAAAAAAATTCCAGCGAAAAAGCAGTAAGGAAGCGTCAGGCCCCATTACAACTCTACTTACATTCCAGCCATGTAAACGTGGAAAGGTTCTACCAGATGCTGTGATTAGCTGGAAGTCCTGTCGCATTCGAGTGCATGTAACTTTAGACTACTAACTACATTGGAATGGAATTCGGTGGCAGCTGGTGTTCGGGACACCATTGAGAAAATTGCCAAGATTTACTTTCGGATGTGAGACTTTTCTGCCCTAAGTATGACCTCCGAGTAGGCGAGAAAGTGAACTAAAATTTCCTGTTTCCGCCCCTGAGAAATTCTTGGCAATTCGTCTCCCGACCCACCGTAAGCTGCGCAAATCTCCCCATCTCGAATGAATCAGCGTCTGGCACGACGCCATGCAGACTGCACGTGCCAATCGGCTGGCATCTTTCCTCTCGGCGCTCGTGAATGAGTGAATGACCTCTCGAGACTTACGAGTCGACGTGCTCGTTAAATCCTTAACGTTTGAGCAGCACGGCATAGAGATACATATCCTTCGGCCGACAGTTTCAGAGGATTACAATAAAATTAACGCATATTATTATTATTAAACTAAAACAAAACAGGTTCCGACCCGACCTGCTCGATTTGGGCGGACTGGAGACGAAAATAAAGAAGCGACGGACGAGAAAGGCCTGCTTGGCAACTTTCGCTCTGAAACGCTTCGCAGAGATTCATCCACGTGCTTTTCCTCAGGATCATCACCGATTAGCATCAGCTGTCACCATCAGCGCTATGGAAATTCCGTTCGCACTAATAAGAAAAAAAAGCATGCATTCGGGTTTCACTTTCAACTTCAAAACGGATAGATTCTCAACTCTCGAAAATCCATGTTCTGTGTATTTTTTACTCCTGTTAATGTTGCAGCTGTCGAACGGTGCGATCCGATATTCCGACAGAAGAAAGGAACAGTTTGAGAAATTGAGGGTCCCGCTCATGTATGCTTCTATTTATTTCACATTTTTTAAATAAAAATCTGTAATTTATTTATTTTAAGTTTTATACAACAGGCTGTAGATGAAAATCGAGAGTCTGTTAACCGCTTTCTGCACCCAGATCATTTTCTGTGAGTATGCAGGGTCACAGCTGAGCCTACAGCATGTTTTTGAAGAGTTCGTTATCATACAGGTTTTTTTTTTTTTCATGTTCCCAGAAGCGGGTTTTTCAGGTCGGCTCGAAAGTTGGTGGGGCTGACGAGGCAACGCGCGAGGTCATTGGCGTTCGCTCGTGATAAGGGAGGCCCGAGATTGAAAATGGGACGCGTGTGGCGGGGACTGGGGACATCAAGCCATCGGGTTGAGGTTGAGGTCGCTTAGCGACTCAATAACCTTTTTCTTTACCTTTAACGTGGAATGCGTTTGATTTTCTTTCATTTCAACATCTAGGATTTAATTTCGGGGGGGTTTGAGGTCCTGCGTACGCGCTGTGGCTATTTTTTTTTATGCTTGTCATTATAAGTCTTTTTGACACATCTGGATTTTCCTGTAAGTTGCAGTGTTTAATAAGTAAAAAACTATTAAAGATAGAAAATACCAAGTACTGCACCGTTTGCACCGACGAATAACGGTATGGCAAGAATTTAAGGAAAATATTTTGGGGGGGGGGGGGTTTTGAACCCCATGATACGGCCTTGCATATCAACCGTGGAAAGGGTTGCGAAGAGCCTGTTCCACTCTCACACTTCGTTGCAGGAATGGCATCGCTCTTGGCGGTGATGAAATAAAGGGAAACACGTCCATTGTCTTTCGTGACGATGCGTTTTTGAGGAAAAATAAGGCAGTTGGAACTCAAGAGTGACTTGTCACTCTGACACCCTTTCTGTAGCACCAAAGGGAATCGTCGAGGACCGTGACCTGGCATCACTCATCTCCCTCGTCCTTCCTGTCTTCTCTCAGTTTTTTGGTTGAGCGAGACGAATGGAATCATTTTAAGAAATTTTTTTATCAACATGAGGGTGAGCTCGTGGATGTCACCCTCATCTTGGCAGTTTAAGTCAAATCAAATATCGCATTCTCGTGATGGGCATCATGAGGATCATTTTCGACCTACTTGTGGATGGAGGCCGCCTCCGACATAAACCGGTTACTCTGGTGGCATTATTCCCTGATTCACCTCACTCCAAACCCCGTGATATCGTCACTCCACATTATTCTCTGTCGTTATTTTTCTAGTTGCTTATCTTGTGTATCAACCTTTGATCTCTTTGGTTCACCTTCCACCAATCCTTCGGGTGAGGTGGTATAACAGCTTCATCTTGCTCTCCTTCACCGCCTTCATCGCGTCCTTTAAATCCGGTCCGTATTTGCGTACAGGCATTCATTTTCAAGGTGCAGCACGTTAGACATCTCTTAACATCTCTTCTTACTATCAGTTCACTTGTTCCTCACGAGATGTCAGAAGCATCCCAGAAGGTGCTTGAAACGCAAATGTGGACGATAGTGACATCTACGCTTGCTGCTCGCAAGGAAGAGGAACTAGTGGGGGCACCTCGCTCACATCCCAGCGACATCGATGAGCAGAGAACGGCCGTAGGCCTGGGCTAGCCTAGCATGCACTCTGTTTCTCGCTCTCGACTGGGTGCAGGGCGATAGAGAAGGCACATTTCAGGAACAGTCCCTGCCTTACTCTTGTCTGGTACGGAGCTTCTTCTCTCTCTCGCTTGCATTCTCGGTTTTTCTGTGGGAAATCCCGCCGTGATGCGGTCCAAAATCATGTCAGTGAGCTGGGAATCACGTCCTCACCTTGCAGGAACTTGGGATTTCGACGTGACTTGAAGAAAACATGTTCAGGGCGTTGAAAGCCCTCTTCCAGCCCCAGTTCGCACTGGAAAGTGTATCAAACCCACTGAGGATGATCTCGACCTCTGCCTCCGTCAGAAAAGCAGAAGATCGCAAGAGGATGATGAAGTCAGTCCCAAAAATGGATGAGGGAACATCTGGTGAGAAGACACAGGATCTGGACTTCACTAGGTATGTAAAAATTTCATGATATTCTTGTTGATCTGGTTGGCATGTCTATGACTATCAGACTCAAGTGGCAGCAAGTTTGTCATTTGGTTAAGTGTATATGTGAACCCTGGTGGCAATGAAGAATAAGACTAGGCCTAAAAGCTCTAAAGGCTCATATAATTTAAGAATTTGAGTGAACTTCACTCTGAACAATGAAAGGCTAACAAGATGACATTTGACATTCTCGGCAGGCGTGGAGGGATGTTCCCAGATGAAGACACTCCAACCACCTTGTTTGATGGTGTACCTTTCATGCAATTACCCATCATTCACATCAAAGTGTCAAAGAACAATACACTCATTACCTGCACTGACTACAAAGGTGAATGACCTTATTTGCCTTTTTTTCCCTGCTTAGTTTCTTGTGCAGTATATTTTGTTTCCATATGGAGTTGGGAATTACAGTATTATTTTTATATTACAGGGAAACCACATTACATGCACTCTTGTGGTAAAGAAGGATTCAAAAATTGCAGAAAAGGTACAAATGTTGCTGCTCAAGCAACAGGGATCTCTGCTGCATTGGTGAGTAAGGTTACAGTCTTTCGTTAGGTGAGATGATATGAATGATATGTTAATGGAGAGTTAATGCTTTAAAGGTGATTGCATGCAGGTCTATAATTTTAGGTATTCCTTATTTTGTATTCATGGGAGGTTTTTTATTTTGGAGTATGAAGTTTCAAATTAAAAATTGTGGGATATCCAAGTTATTTTTGTCAATGGTGTTTAGTGGCTGTGGGTAGTCAGGCTTTGGTATCGGCCTGCATAGTTTTCATTTTTATCTTCAAAATTGTATACCGGAATAATAGGATTTCGATTTAAATCAAGTTTTCACTGTGAAATTCCAGAAAGCAATGAACAACGGAGTGAAAAACGTCCGCATTCTAATTCAAGGATTGGGCCCGGGAAGAATGGTGAGTTCTCTTCAATTTTTTTTTTTGCATGAAGTCAGGGAGTCGTTAAGTAAGACTTAGTATATAAATTTGCATGGAATCTTTGTCATTGCTATGCAGTCATGTCCAATGCACGAATGGAGATGGCGCTGAAGAAGCATACTTGTAGACAAGCAGAATCGAAAAGGGGACATGCCAGGTGGTGAAGGATGGGGGGGGGAGGGAGAGGAGCGAACATACGATGCAGACTAGCATATTCGTTCGGTGCCACGTCAGCGAGAGAGGCAGTGGGAAGGGATGTGCGCAGCAGTTATTGCCTAGCCTCGCCGTTTCACTCGCGTTCTAGAGGGCGCAGGAGTGGAAACGCTGAGGAGGATAAGAGTGATGGGCCGTTCCGAGCGGTGTCCTCCCTCTCCCTTCTCTGTCTCTCTCCCTCTGCTCACGACACAATCCGAGAGTAGAGAAACGAATGAAAGGAAGGGAATGAGTAAGAGCGGAGCGTGACGGGAGGGGATGGGAGCTGGAGAGAAGTCGATCTCCTTCACGGCGCTATCTTTCTCCGCAGCCGTGGTATTTAAAGCTGCAAGCGAATGGGTTTTTAATAGCTGATCCGTTCTCATCCCGTTTCCCACCAGAACCAAATGGGGGAGAGGGGTGATCACAATCAATACATTTAAAACTAGTCCTGGTCTTGGTATGCATGTGACCCATATGCCGTGTTACATGATGGAATCTTGAATGCAGCGAGATGCTTCCTACTTTTTTATTTTCAAGGGACGGAAGTATGTGCACCTGCCACTAGTTATGTATTGATTCAGTTTACAAATCTGTGCGAAACCCTCTAACGTTTTACCTTATTTATACATTTTCGTTTGGAAAATTTGCACATTTTGTCTTGAATGTTGATTTTTTTTTTGTCCTGGTGGGGGGGGAAATATTTGCGAGGAGTATGTTAACAGACGACTTGTGATGTAGATATTGCCTCTCGAGGGAGGTGATTGCATTCATCAGCAGAACGCGTTTGTGCTTATTGTAATAAGAAATTGTCGGAAAGCTAATTGCTATTACTAATTGCTATTAGGTGCAAACATGAAGTGGGTTTAAACACTGCTCTAAAGAATTGAAGCTCCCGTGACATCCGTTCGATTATAATGCTTTTGGATATTTTAACAGGTTTGGCCCTCTTATATTGAGATAATCGTAGTGTCATGTCTGCTTCGTACCTTCGACACCCTCTTGACATTATCCCCCTCCACAGACCCATGGGTGCATGTGGCTTCCGTCTGGTACTTCTAGATCTACTGAAATTTATTACCTGGTGAGAATGAGTCTCAATTGGGCCGAGTTGATGGAAGAGGCGTCGACGAGGAACTGCAGTGTTCGATTCATAGCCGCGTCAGACACTGGCATTGTGGACGGAATGCCCGAAGAATTGTTGGAAGGGAAAGAAAAATGATTGTGTGCTAAGCAGGAGTAAACTTAAACCCAATTTAAACCAGATATGGTTGTCTTTCTTTTGTTTCGCGTTTCTTTCAGGTTCTGTCAAGATGCAAGACACAGTTCTCAGCTGTAGTGTCTTCGTTTTTAGATAGAAATTTGATCAAATTCTAGGATTTCGATTTTTTTAATTTGCGGTCTCGTTCGAAGAGAGGGGTTCTTGAATAAGATTACAGATTAATTTTATTTCTCTGGGACACCGACTGATAAGTCATGTCACCGAGAAATGTTTTTTTTTTTCACATAGCAGCTGATTTGGTCCGATAGCAAATCTTTCCTTCATTCATCTTAATGTAATAGTGTTAAACCTCACATTTCCTATTTCACATTATTAAAAAAAACTCCTGAACTTCGAGACCCAGCGTCCAATTCGTGATCTCATCAATCGTCTCATAAATAATGTAAATAGAACTCTATGGAGTTCTATTAAGTTGATCTAATTTGAGAAAATGGTCGAAATTGGACGCTGGATCTCAGAATGAAGACCCATCTAACTCTCACCTTGCTGAGAGAGGGAATCCAGGAGTGTTTAGCAGGGCTATGCAATAGACTGCAAATCTCGCTTGCACGGTTGTAAAATGTTTCCCTAATTCTTCAAAATTAGCATCAAAGTGACACATATATTTATGTAAGTTCAGGAATTGCGTGGAATTGGAACAGCTCGTAAATGCCATTAGTACCTACACTTAATTACATTCCCAATGCATACATGATTAAGATGTTATTGGAGTTTTCCGCAAGCAGCATAGGCATAGTCTTTTCTTGTTGAAGGCATGAGCTTTTATTGTAAAACCAATACCAAATGGTAGTAAAACCAAATGGAGCATGCGCTTTCGACAGATCGTCTGCGAACGCACTGACACCCGTTTTTCCTCAAGTAACCTGTCCTGCGCTGCGAGGAAGTACGACAGGTGTTCATGTTTTTTATTTTGTAGAATTGAAACTTTGGGTATTATAGATGGAATGTGAACGGAAGGACTTCATTTCAAGGTGGTCTAGAGTTAAAACGGGAATTATTCCGCAGAAAGCCTTGCTGGAATCTATCTAGCTGGTACCTGCAATCCTTTCCCTCGCGAGTTCTCTCCCGCGCGTCTTTCTCATATCTTCTAACTGAATAGGTTCCATAAACTCCCCCGATACGCAGAGCAACCTCTAATTTAAACAATTTTTGCGACGATATCGGCTCCGGGTAGGTAAATAAGTTGTACTATTTACAACTTTTTATGATCATTGTCTGCAAATCATTTAGGTGAGACGCATGGTTCAGGAAAAGCGCCTCATGGCGCAATTTATAGATGAAATAAGGTAAATTATTGAAAAGTTTCAATTGATTCTGCATCAGATTCTCATTCAGTTAGTTTTAGACCGAGATTGTGCGCTTGTGCTTAGTTACTGGGATTTATGTCGAGCGGAAGTATTTTGGAATAATTAATCCAATGTTCGAGGGAGTTATTGTGATACGCCGATCAGCAACTCGACTTGTTCATTGCACTCGATTGGTTTTAGTATCGTCAATTTCAGCGGTATTAGGTGGCAAGATTCGCGACTGGTTTTCCCTTTTGAGTTTCAAATGCTTTTTCGGTAAGAAGAAAATGAGGAAATGAAAGGAAGAAAGGGAAGCATCCAAGCGACTCTCACGGCCGCGAGCGTCGCGTATCCGTCGCCTCCATAATCACGAGCTGCGTTTGCGATCCTTGCACGCTCGCGCCCACGGCCATCCTTGTTCGTAGTCGCAATGCTAACGCAAAAGAACTGAAGCTGTTGAGAACCCAACTGTTTCTCTCTTGTACTTAATCCAACCACATATCCTCGAATTTTCCATTGTGAATGGAGAGGTCGCTCCCCCCCCCCTGCGAAAAGAGGTTGTTTGAAAATCGGAGACGCTTAATCGCAGAATTCCTGAAGGAACTGCTGGCGTTGTTGCAGCAGATGCAATACGAACGACCGATATCTCTCAACTGAACCGTTTATGCTGAGTTGCAGGCGTTCGTGTATTAGCATCATTGCATTTGAAATTGTGGAGGGGTTTCATGCCCGAAGACCTCTCCATTTCTGAGAAAAGAGATTTCGCCCCCGCAATCGTCGTTATTATTTTGAGGGCATTGTTGATCATGTCTATTCTTCACCAAGAATAGACATTATCCTCGCTTCCGTAGTTGGCACAGCTCGGGCGCGTAAAAGACGTATTAAGTATACATGCGAAATGCATCGGACTGTTCCAGCACTCATCAAAAGTGGAACAATTGAATTCTATCGGTTTGCCGCCAAAAGTTTTGGTGGCTCTCGAATTCGAGGGAATTTTAAAAATTGGTGCACCAAAGAAATTATCAGCAGAATGCACACTCAGTAATAATTAAAAAATTCGAATCAGGGGTTTCGTGCATTCGCGAAAAATCAATGCCAATTGAGAAACCCACTGCCAGTCCAGAAAGACGATTGTCCAATGTCTATATGTAGATGGTCTTTGGCACCGTTGACTCAGATATAGTTGAATGCCTCGTCTTATTTTCTTTTTTTAAGGTCATGGTTGGTTTACCTGGTCGGACATTAATTCCAAAGGTCCGTTTTATTATTATATGGAAGAAAAAAGAGGATTTCCTCACTTTCTGCTAACCTGGAAAATCCTGTGGGTTAGGAAGGGAGGATGTCGCGGTTTGATAGGATGCACGATGGACCTCTCAGATCTTAGGCTCAAGGAAGATGCCAGCATTGTCTCATTTTAGGAAGGTCATTTGTTGGCACAACTTCTGGCTTGCCCTGCCCTTTTCCATAGGTACCATATCTAGGTGGATATCATTAGTATTTTCGAATGGACGCCATAATTTTTGGGATATTTAAATAAATTCAATGCTGGCAGGTTGAGACACTCAAGCCAAGAATCCTTCTCGATATTTAAAGATGTGGATATTTTCCTGATGTTCTCAGGAATTTTCAAGTTGTATGCTTATTTTATCAGGTCTCATGACATGGACATGACTGCATGACATATTTTTGCATGATTTGCATCCCAGTCCATAAACGCTTTTCTTCTCCCTGATTTCAATGTGTGCTTTCGAATTTGTATTCGATTTTTACGAGTTGATCATCTCATTTCCACTCCAGCGGGGAAGTTTGATTGAAAAATTTAATCCAAAT